TGTGCACAAAGTGCCCTGAGTCACGTAGATGTGGCCCCTTGTAGCTGTGTGTGGTCACGGGAGTGAGGTCCCTCCTTGCRAAGGGCCACCTCAGAGCAGCCACCATGCCCGAAATGGCCATGGATATCAGCTCTCCTCCTTCACGTCCTTCCAGGCTTCGGGCTTCTCCTTTGGACACACAGGGAGCAGAGGGGGCTGCTCTCTAGGCAGAAATCAGAGACCTTCCCCACAGGACAAAGAAACGATCCCAACACAGGGTTTGGGCACTGGGAGAGGGACCTCGAGGGGAGCTTCCTCCTTGGGATCTTTTTTTCTGTGCGGTTTGGGATTGCTGTGGGATGAGCGCTGGACAAAGGGCTCTCCTTGGAGACACAGGCAGGGCTCCCCTCAGCAGCCGCCTCTCCAAGCTCACAAGAGCGTTTGCTTTCAAGACGATCCAGCCCCCAATTAAACACTTATTTCCTCGGTCTTTGCACTTTAGCTGAGCAGCCCCCATCCACATTTGCTTTTGCAAGAATGTGGAAGTCAGTCCAGGTGCTCCTGTTTCTCTGTCCCAAAGCGTGTTGAGCCGTGCACAGTTGTGAGATGATTTGCAGTTGCTGAGATTAGGCTCGGTCCTTTGAGCTGCAATAGGCTGAACCCGTGTCAATCCTTAGAGACCGCGTGGACTTATCCCTCTGCCTTGCTGCGGTATTTGGGCGCTTGTCTGAGGCAGGCTGCAGCCCAGGGTTTCCAGACAAAGCTCTTGGGCCTCCATGAAGCAGCAGCAGCACTGGCAGGGCAAAAACAGAGAGAATGTTCCTCAGAAAACCTGATGGTTGCTCAGCCCCYGTGGGTTATGGGCACTGCAAGTTTTGCTGTGTGGCCATGTCTTTGTTTGCAGCTGTGACAACAGAGGCAATAGCGGTGCATTTGGAGCAAGGCTTTGGGATCTCTCCTTTTCGTGCGGGATCTCTCCTGCTGCAGATGCCTGACATCAGTGCTGGCACAGCGGCGCTGAGGCCGGCGCGTCCTGCCACCGTCACCATGCCCAGCCCGAGGAAGCGAGGCCTGGGGAGCAGCGTGTTGGCAGCGACCTCCCCGCGCGCAGCAGCCTGGGCCGGGCTCGGCCGATGCCGCGCGGCGCTGCACGGGGCCCACGGCCACGCATGGGAGGCCCTTGGCACGTGAGGCCGCAGCGCACGGGCGCTGCAGGGACCGCCGAGGCTCGGGACGCGCCGCCAGCCTCGTGCAGGAGGCCAGAGGAGAGGGCAGGTCTACAACAGCGCTGGGTGCCTGTGGGTGCAGCTTGAGCTCGACTTGCCCAAGGAGATGCGAGCAGTAGGTGGCTGGAGCCAACCCCATAAACCCCAAGCCAGCTCCCAAGCCAGGAGACCGTCCTTGCCCTTGAGTCCGTGCCCCTGTTGTCGTTGCAGCGGCCACGATGATGGTGTGGGAGCATCCTGGTTCTTCTCATGCATTCGTTGGCTGATTTGCTGACGGAGGCAGCCGGCAGAGCTCTTCCCGGTGGAAGCGCTGCTGCCGGCGCGTTCCGCTCCCGCTGTGCGCGGTGCCCGGCGCTGCACGTCACCCTGGGGCCTCGCAGCGGGTGGGATCACAAGCATGGCCTCCCACCGGGGCCTGCTGGAAGCAGCAGCCTGTGTTTGTATTTGTTTCTCCGTTAAAAAGGGAAAAGGACACCTGAGCTCATAATTTGCAAAAATTGGACGAGAAACCTGGAACCCGCAAGGCCCTGCATCTTTAAAAGCRTTTAAATTCCTCTTCCCTGCACTAGGAGGCACCTTGAACCTTCCTCTTGGCCCCACTCTGCTGGGGCCCATCTGCTTCCTATTACCTTCCCATAAAGCTGCCTCACTAGCCAAAAAAGCCAGGCTTTCAGGGAATTCTGTCTGCAGACCCGATGTTGAAATTAGTAACAGTTGTCGTCTGTTTTTTTCTTTTTTCTCTTCTCTCTTCTCTTCTCTCCCCTTCCCTTCCTCTCCTCCTCTCCTCCTCTCCATTCGCACATGACCCTCAGGACAGCCCCTCTCCAGCCTTTCCGAGCTTGGAAAAGGCAGCCTTGATCCCCACGGCAGGTTCTAGCTCTTCCTTCCTTCCTTCCGCAGCTCTCCGGCGGTGCGGATCGCGGCCGCCTCCGTGGAGCAGGGGGGATCCAACGAGCCTCCTCRCGCTGGCTGCTCAGCCCAGGAGTTCACAGAGCGAAGCCGCCTTGGCTGGCGGCGCGGGGAGCGTTAGCAGCTCGCGCCCGGCGCCTGCCAAGCGCGATGAATTCCTAGGAAAGCAGCAACTCGGATGTGGCCCAAGCGAGGCGGGCACGGGACCTGGAGAGGTCGCCCCGTTCCCTGGGCCTCCTCAGCGCCGCAGACCGCCCCGGGGCCCGCGGATCCCCACGCGCGGGCTGCGTGTCCTCGCTCCGGTGCGTGCCTGCGGATCGCTGCCCTTCCACCAGCAGGATTTGGAAACTGAGCTTATGGAAAAGTTTGTCCGTATTCAAGAAACTGGGAAGCCCGTGTTCTTCCAGCCTCCCGCCCCTCTCTTCCGCGCGGCAGGTCTCTCCGTTGCATGATAAGGGCTCACCGGGTCTCAGAAGCTGGGTGCTGTTGGAAAGGGGAGACGTTTTTTGCTGCCATGTGCAGGGAGGAATCAAAGCAGGGCCCTTCCCCGGCGCCACTGAYGGGAACTTTGCAACCCTAATTTGTCCCATGTGCTGCTGCAAACAGGCCCTCCCGCCGGGGCGGGGGGCTCCCGGAGGCGCCCGGTGCCTCCCGAGGCCGGGGCGGGAGGCAGGGAGSGAGCGCGGGGAGAAGAGGCCACGAGCGGTGGCGGCTGCGGAGCAGGGTCGCCGAGACGCGTAGGAATGGCAGGAAATAGCATCTTTGGGGAAGCGGGTTCAACAGCTGAAAAACAAGAAAAAATAGCTGTGGAGAACCCAGGAGAGAAAGAAAACCTTCAGCTGAACGGCTTTCTGTCCACAGGCCTTGGAGCCGTGACAGCGTTCAAAAGTTGGAATCTCAAGCTTTAATAGATTCCCAAAAATGCTGACTTAGGAGAGCAGCACAGCGCGCTGGGCTCTGCTTTGCCTGCTCCTTTCTCCCGTGTTTTTTTACTGACCGGGACAGCACTGGAGCAGTTCCGAGATGCCGCCCCCATTTGCTCCCCTGCAGCGCGGCCCCGGGGGATGATGTGGCCGAGGAGACGCACCACGGAGTGCCCAGGGCGTGCGCGTCCCCCTGGGGCGCCCCGGGCATCGTTGCCCGGAGGCCACCGAGCAGCCGGGTGGCCGCCTTCCCTTCGCCCGCGGCTGGGAGCAGAGGGGAGAGGTGGGCAGTCGCTCCCTGGGGAGACGCCAGCTGAAGGCGCCCGGTTAGTCCTCCCAGCTTTCCTGCATGRGAGGAGAACGTCAGAACATCATTTACTTACGGAGATGAGTTGGGCGGAAGACATCGTCCTGGTCTCTGGTTGCACCTCACCCACAGGACATACAGTCCAGCCTGTGATGGGTAGCCTTCCGTGCTCCCACCTCACACTAGCTGCGGAGAGAAGATGGGAAAATAGAAGCAGAAATACATTATAGCCAGCTCTGAGGTCATGAAGGGAATGGGCCTGTGGCAGAATTGAGGAGGAATAAGCTCTGCTGCCCAGCACTCCGGGTACTAATTAGTCTTTGCTTTCTAAAACATGCACAAGAAGAAAAAGGCAGTGGTTCAAAATGTTATTCCAAGCATTTCTTCACTGAGGCAAGGCTACAAATGGTCCATACCTATGGACACCTTTGCAAAACCCTCAGCGAGCTCTGAAATGTCCCCTTTCACCTCCCCTGCAGAGCCGTGCAAGCGCTGGCCGTGCCACTGCTTTGCAATCGGATTTTAACACAGCCATGTCCGTGACTCTTTTGCACCGCCTTTCTGGGCATGTTCTGCATTTTGCTGAACACCATCTGAGTCGCACGTCACTGCTGAGGTGGTTGGGGTTCTCCCTGTGGTGGTTAGATATGTGCCGTGTTAGTTGCATGTGTCCTCTGATCACAAGATAGAAGCAGAGACCGCAGGCTTTGTGCAACTTCCCAGGACTGTGTGAGCTTGGTATAATTGCCTCAGACTGAGTGGAAATTATCTGCAAGCCAAAAATCTTTCGCTGAAGCAATTAGCAAATCATTTTAAACAACAAATGCAATTGGAACCTCACAATTCCTTGGTAGATAGAGCTACCCCTTGGTAGATAGAGCTACGAATAAGTTCCCTGAATGGATCCGTTGTTTTGCGTCACTTTTTTAGGTTTGGCCGATCCACTTGGAGAGAAGGTCTATTGAGAGGACAGGATGATAACCATGCAAGCCTGACAGAAAGCTGGGAAACTAGAATAGAGAGGAAATTTCAGAGTGCCCCTCGCAACCACTCCGTTAATGCCTTTATTTCCTATCCTCCTTTTTAAGAGCTCAGTAGCTGTTTGCTGTGCCCCTCCTCGTGGGCACTGTTGTTGGGACAAAGGGCTGTGTGAGATGCAGAGCAGCCCTCGAAGGTGCCTGGTGCTGGCCGGGCCGTGCAGGCAGAAGCGCTCACTGAGGACAGCCCCGTCGCCCACGGGCCCTCTCTGCGCCCGGCCTGGCTGAGCACGATGCTCAGGTGACTTCTGCTGCTGTGACTTGACCTGGTTWAGTGCATCTGCGCTTCCTTCCCTCCCCTTCCAGGGTCCTCCTGCCCGTCTCTCTTTTGCTGCCTCTTCCCTTCTCTAGTTCCTGATTTTCCTTGCTCCTTCACCCCGGTTTCATCTCCTACCACCTTGTATTCCCTCCTTTCCGTTTTCTCTCCCTCCCTCTCTCGTGCTCACTTTTCTGCCACCCTCTCTTCCACAGGGGCGATGCCACCAAGAGCTGTTGATTCGAATTAGCCCATGTTGTCGCTAGCAGGGCAGGCCGGGCACACGCGCTACCGAGACACCGTGAGCAGCCCCACTGCTTGGGGGAGAGCACAGAGGGGCTGAGGATGCCTGCGGAGCACCCGACGACTCCCGTCTCTACATAAGCGGTGGCCGAAAGAGAGACATGTTGGGACAGCGCCTTTCCAGCTGGTACAATACTCCCTGCACTGAGACCAGCGTCACTAACTATGGCAATAGCTTGGAGGCTTCTCACGTGGACTCTCRTCTTCACCAGGGCTGTGTGCAGCTTCCCCGGTTACACCTTCCAGTCTCAAGGTAGGGGCTGTTGTGGGGCGGGGAGGGGGGCTGGCAGCTGTGGGCCCCAGGGGAGGTGTTGGGGTGCTGCTGTGCTYGGGGCGCTGTTTGGCAGCACCCAGTGCTCTGCCATGCTCAGAACCGCAGCCTGAGTCCCGCTGCCGATTTTGCAGGGCTGTCGCATGTCCCTCGGCCTGAGACGTGTTGCGCTCTGACGTTCAGCTCCTTGACTCCCTGCAGGACGTATGTTTCCGAGCAGAAGGGTCTGGGTGAGGACGGAGTYGCTTAAGCAGTTTAAGGAACACGAGGAGTCATGGTAGAAGCCACGGAAGCTCCTCTTCYATGTGGATAGAGTGGAGCATCCTTGCGCGAGTGGAGGTTCTGTTGTGAAGAGGGATGTGTGTGTTGAGGGAGCGCTGTGCGGGGCTGGAGGGCTCTGCTGGAGTGCGCAGATGCCCATGCACTCCAGCAGTGAGGACCGGCGTGCTGCTGCAGGAGAGGTTCATGTGCATGCACTTCTGTTAAGTGCTGCTATTAATATATGTTCAAATCTGTTTGGACCTAAGTGTTTTGTACCTTTACACGCGTGTGCCTTTCTTTTGTGCGTGTGTTTAAACACAGAACTTCACGTGCAAGTTACGCTCATTTGTTTCTGTGGCCGTTTCCTGAGAGGCAGAGTGAGTGCCAGCATTAGGCACCAAAGCTAGGAGGGGTCAAAATGAAGAGCTCCTAAGTTAGGTGCTTATCTGGAAATGCTGTTAATAGCTCGGCAGTGCAATTGCACAGACATGGTGCTGAAAGACCTTCTCAATGGTCTTGTTGGATGCCATTGAGAAGAGGGGCAGAGGCAGTCCAAAGCTGCCTGCTGCCCAGGCTCTGAGCAGCGTGTCCTTGCCACGTTTGGGATCTCATTGCACTGCAGCCTATGCCGGGCGAGAGGAGAGGCAGTCAGATGCCAGAGCTGAGCTCTGTGCAGTGGGCAAGGCTCAGCTTGCGGCGTCGATGGCAGCGTGGCACCRTGGGCGAGCACAGGGGGACAGCAAAGCCGGGCTTATCCCGTGCCCAGCATCTCGGACCAGGCTGCCCCGTGGGCCCCTCTTACTGGCAAAGCCCTTCTTTAGACTCGTGATCGGTTGGCTCCATGCTATTAATAACGCTCAGCACTTTGCTTCGGCGCRTTGCTGTGATAGGAAGTACATAATCCTCACGGCGCCCTTTCGAGAGGGCGAAACACGCTTATCAACACTGACCAGGTGGAGGCACAGGGAAACAAAAGCCAGTGTTCTCAACAAGCCATCAATTCCATGAGTTAGTGATGGAGAAGGATTCATTGGCCCTCATGTGGAGATCCCAGATTAGTCTATTTATTTTATACAAGGGAAAAAAAAGCAAAATGAAAACCTAAGATATTTTGTTCATAACCTCTAGGTATCGARGTGGCTGAATGCAATCCAAGTGGAAGGCCTCTTCAAGTCAGCAAAGTTGTAGCAGATTTCAGAGGCCAAATAACGTCATGTGTAAACTAAGGCTGCATTTTTTTACAGTACAGGTAATCCCAGATGAAGCTGGGACTCCATACCCATCCCCTACTCGTGACTGCTTTTCAGTCGACAGGAAATCTTCTCCTAGTTTTCAGAAAGTTTCTTCTAGTTCAGGTTAACCACAGTGATAGAGCTGAGGTTGTCCTGCATGTAAGGATAGGTTGTTCCATGAGTGGGAAGGGAGGATCATCTCCCTGGTCCCCTCTCTTTCTTCCTGCATTCCCAGCTTTCGCCAAGCCCTTCTCCCAGAAATATCTGCTCCTTGCTGCATGCCCAGGAGCCCTCCCAGCCATGGGCAGCTCTCTTTTCCTACCGAAGGGCTTTTTATAGCATCTCATTGAAGCAGTTTAGCAGCCATCCGCAAACACCAGGCTTCTTCTCATGGGTGCAGACCCTTTTGAGACAGCCAAGGTGATGCTGCTTATTTCAAGCTGAGGTCTATTAATATAGCAAGCGACTGAGAGGGCAGAGGGAGCACGATGGATTTGCTGGGAGGAAGCAAGGAAGGGCCAAACRGTGCTGCTGGGGTGCTCTGTGATATGGGGACCAGGACTCGTGCTGCTGGGTGGACATGAAATGGAAACAGGCCACGTGGATGCACAGGGCTGGGCAGCAGAAGAGCTGCCCGTACACTAATGCCAGAGGGGAGGAAGGGGCAGCTGGAAGAGGGCACGGGGTTCTTCCTTGGATGGAAAGTCTMTCTCCATTGTTTTCTCTGTTCATTGTGTCTGCACAGTGAAGCACCCCTTCTTAAGACCTTCATGCAGTGCTGGGCACTGCTCTTTCTTACCGTGTTCTTTCTGTGCCTCAGTTTCCTGAGTGGCATCGCTGAGGTTGCAGAGGCGGCCTGCACAGCAGCAAGAGCTGCTGCTCACACTCACTCTGAACTGCAGACCCTGGGCACTCACTGCCCCTGGAAATACCTTGCAGGTCAGGATTAGGCACAGCAGTAACGGGTCCCAGGCATTTTTCCTAGCCGCTGGGTGCAGAAAGCTCCTTCCTAGACGCTATTTTGTAAGCTCCCATGAACGGCATAAAGAGAAAAAGCAAACCAAAAAACTTCCGATAGCAAGTTTTTCCAAGCCTGAGGTCATTGCTTAAGTGCTAATGGCCACACTTGTCTGCCCAGCTGCATCACAGGAGCGGCAGTGTGATGTGGGAGAAGCTCAAAAAAAAGAGGAGGACTAATGATTACTTCTGGCTCATGGAGCCAGGGGATAGGTGCCAGAGRTGCTTATGGTTTGGAAGGTTGGGAGCTAATCCCTAAACCCAGCTGGTGGGAAGGACTGTCCCATTAGTGGTGGCCAAGGAAACCACTCTGTCAGGATCCCGCACTGGAAAACACGCTGGAGGAAAAGGAAACTTTCCAGTGCTGCCATGTGGTAAAAGTGTCATTTGGAGTCCAAATTTATGATGGCTGGGAAGGCTTTGAAGATGGGTGCTGTGGAGCCAGGCAAAATGCAGCCACCCCAGAGCAGCCTGGCCTCTCCCTGCTTGCTTAGGAAACAGCAGGACACGGGATGTGGAAACACAGCAAGACCCCTGYAGCATGAAAGGAGGACAGATGCTCTCCTGCTCCATAAGCAGACCTCCAACCATCAGGGCAGAAGAGAACTCTCTGATGGGGGTGGCTGTCCTGTCTAGTGCATGACTAGTTACATCCTTCACTAAAGCATTCGGGACCTAAGGCTGTCAGAGTCAGCTTGACCAGACCCAGCCTGGCGGTGCCGGGGACATTTGCTTGGAAAATGGGAGATTTCGGTGGAGATTGCTGAGAACCAATTTCTCTGACGGCTGTAGGTGCTGAGTTGCCAAGCGAGYGTGGTCAGACGTTTCGGAGGGTGCTGTTGTCAGAGCACGTTTCCTAAGTGGTATGAGACAGGCTCAAAAGCTCAAGTATCTCAAGAGAAGGTGTTAAGCCAAGCTGATATGTTAAAGACTGCCTGGTTGGGAGCTGGAAAGGCAGGACCATCTGTGGGTAGAGACCTTCCCGTGGAAGCAGGATGTCTGACTTCTTTTCTTGCTGTATTTTTGGTTAGGGCTGGGGAATGCTATTTTCGCCCTGCATCTCTTTTATTTTGTTAGTAAGATTGTCATTGTAAGGATGTTGTCACGGTTTCTCTTTGAGGGATGAGCAGTGCCCAACGCTGTGACCTGTGAGCAGTGCAGTACTGTAACTATGTGAATTATGAAGAGACAGGGCCACCTGGCCATCACTTGCAGAGGAAGAAGAGGTTAGCTTCCTTGTGGTGAAGACCTTCATGAATACCCCAAGAGGCTTTCTCGTTGTCACTTAGGCTGGACAGGGCAGGGGATCTAGGCATCGCATCCCTGTTGTGCTATAATTGCAGGGTCATACATCCTTGTGACGCTCTGTATTAGACGTCTGTTGCAAACAGGYACGAGTGTGCTCAGGCTGTTCCTCAAGGAGGGGAACTACGGTGTGACATGGAGCAGATACCAGGTGTCAGGGCAGAAAACTGAGTGCTCGTGCCCTGTAATGCAGGTAGATGTGCTCTTGTTTGGAGTATGAACGGCATGAGCCCGTCTGGCCTGGAGGAGGGCCACTGAATCACAGATTTCCCCTTGCGTCAGGAGGGTGCTCGTCCATCTTCACTATCTGTGACCTTAGGTTACATCCTGACGCAGCCAGCTCTGTGTGAGGTTACTGGGTGTTTTGCTCTGATCTCTTTGCAGAAGGTCATTCCTCCTGTGTTTGCTTTTCCTCCCCAGAGGAGTTCCTCTCCAGCCTCGACCACTATGAAATTGCATTCCCCATCCAAGTGGACCAAAACGGCGACTTCCTCACCTTTGACATGAGAAGCCAGCTGAAGCAGCGCCCTCGGCGCAGTCTGGGCTCCATGCCCTATGAGCCATCTGAGCAACAGGTCTTCTACAAGGTCTCTGCTCATCGAACCCAATTTCTCCTCAATTTGACGCTGCACTCCAACCTGTTGGCTGAGCACTTCACTGTTGAATACTGGAAACGAGACGGTGTGGACTGGCAACATGATTTCCACGAGGACTGCCACTATGCAGGCCACTTGCAAGACCAGTACCGCAACTCAAAGGTCGCCATCAGCAACTGCAATGGACTGGTGAGTCTCCATATTTTGCCTAGCCAAGGACAATACCAACAGTGAGAGCTGCCCATAGGAGAGAGCAGATTACAGCTTCTTTTGTCCTTGCTATAGAAATGTAACCTGATTTGGGTCCCAACAGGCAGCCTTGCGTGATGATGGACTAGGCATGGGATTAGAGTCAAACCAGAGTATCATACTGGTATGAAAAGTCACATGAGCATGAYAATGGCCATATCTCTTCATTGCATCTATAGATGTTTCTGATGCGTGTTTGGATTGCAGTCCTGTTCCTGTTGAAGTCAGTGGGAATCTTTGCCTTGATTTTAACCAGAATGGGAAGAGCAAGGCTGTGGACCACGTTGGAATTATTCTGCCTCTCACAGAACTCTCCAGTCTATTTCCAACTGCAACAGCAAGTGATATGTTTTGCRTATGTTAGTGAGGCAAAAGTGTAGAAGAGCAGGAATTTCATAGCACAAGTAAGAGTGTCAAAAGTGCATTCTAATCRCAATTGCAGACACATTCCTGGAATTCAGGAATTTCAGGAGCTAAAAACATGAGTTCTGGTGAAAAAAATGAAATAATCAGTGTTCTCCAGTGTTTAAAAGAAAAAAAAAAGAGAGAGAGAGAGAACAAGGTGGCATTCTCAAATACATCAATTCTCCTATAACGAGGTAGGGTAGGTAGGGTAGCATCTGTTAACATGCTCCTGAAAACTAGGACGAGACATCATGGTCTTAATTGTCAGCAAGAAAGCTTGATGGTAGACATCAAGCTCTGGACTAGATAGTGTGCAGAGAACTTGACCCCTCCATCACTGAAGATCTTTAAGAACAGGCCAGACAAACGCCTGCCAAGACTACTCAAGATTCATTAGCTCTTTCAGCACTGGGAATAGACTGAGGATTTCCATCCATGCTCTTCTGTGATATTTTGATATTGCTGGCTCACAAAACAGCTTTCATGACCTGCCAGGTGGAGGGATGGAGCAACCATACCTTTTCAGTGAATCTCGGGGGTGATGGCTCCCTTGGAGGGMTAACGTAGAAAAAAACTCTATAGGCCAGACTCATACTTAGCCTAAGGCTCCACCTCTTAGCAGTATTCTGGCACAGAAGAAGAGCTTCCAAATGGGAATGAGCTCACATTTGATTTATTGCTAGATTACCCTGCCAGAACAGTGCTGTGGGTTATTAACAGAAATGAGAATCTGACTCATTATATCAGAGATTCTCGTGTTTCTATCTCACAGCCAAGAATCAGAGGCTGTGTAAACCCCTGGTTCCCTCGTTAGCCCTTTGTTTAGATACAGGAAAAAGTACTGATGTTCACAAAAGAAGTGATGGGTCAGTTGRATGTTGCTGGCTCGGAAGGAATCTGGCATTAACCGACCTCCCCACTTCACAGTGGGCAGCAAATCCAGGGCAAGCAATGGCCAGGCAGCACTTGCACGGGGATAATTTAGTCCCCAGACTGTGTTTAGTGCTGGAAAGATACCGGGCTTGTCTGGGGAAGAATGCAGCCAAGCACAAAGAGGGTTGTGCAACAACCTCTCCTTTTCCTGACTACCTTCCTTCTGTCCTGGAGAGCTACAGGAGTCAGCAGCAGGAGAGATCTTGTGGGGTAAGGAGGAAGACAGGGTCAAGGACTTGCCACAGCATGTTCTCCTCTAGGTAGGCATCAGGTCAGCTTAGGTGGGGACAAGTAGGGACAGAAAGTGGCCTTTGGTCCCTGTGGCCTCAGAGGATGTGAGGTGCAAGTGCGTGCTGGGCTAATAGGGTGCTAATAGGGTGCTAATAGGGTGCTAATAGGGTGCTGCACGTGCTGGCCGGCCTTTGCTAAGCTCCCAGATGGTGTTAAGGGACTTGGGTGTTATATGTTGTAAAATGGCCACAAGCAGGTTTGGGACATTATTGGGCATTAGGGAGGAGGAAAAAGTCCATGCGGAAGAATGTGTCCAACACAAGGTGTGAAAATAGGTAACAAACCCCAAACCATCCTCTCTGTTCCTTGAACATCCCACATCCCTATACGATTTCTGCTTCTGCAGGATACAGTTGTAAATCCATTTGCTTCCAAACACTTGCAACACTTCTCACCTTATGGCACCCTGGCTTTGGACTGCTGCTATCTGGGAACATTCCCATGGACTCATCTCAGTAGCCCTCTGCACGCTGTCACAAACCCATAGGCATCATGCACGTCTCACGCTTGCTGTGTCCTCCTGCACAGCCAGCCCAGCATGCAGGCCCCCCGATTTGAGTCCAGATAGACAGTGAGCGTCAACACACACATCTCCTGTGGCACAGGGCTTTCCTCGTGGGGGCCACACCGTTTATCCACTTTGGTTTGTGCAGGATAAAAGTCACTGAGGCTTAAGTTGTTGGAAGCAAAGGGCAAAATGGTCCGTGTTCCAGAACACGCAGAGCCCGAGCTGCCAGTGGGGCTGAACGCAGAGCAGGTGGAGCCTCCAGGAGCAGCTCCAGGAGCGCTGCCTGGGTCTTGAAGGGACCTGAAAATCCTGCATTAAGCAAAGCCAGGCTTCAGCCCATCAGCTCTGTGAGATCCCAAAGGCTGGTGTCCTACCACCAGAAAACTCGCAGCTTGGAGAAGACAACTTTGGGAAAGAAATGTCACTCCTTTCCCTCTTGAGTCAGAGCTCATAAAACGACAGCTTCAAGACCAGGTTTCCAACCCTGTTTGTCCCTGCTGAAATGCTGCTTTCCTCTGGATTGCCCTCCTGAAATCATCGGAACATTAAATGCTCAGAGCCAGGCAGATGGCCCTGYTGCTGATGCTAATATCACAGTTTGTGTGTATTTAAGAGGAGGTCGAAGAGCTGAGTTGCAGTATGTGGCCGTGCTTTCCTAAGCGTGGTCATAAGCTAATAGGATAAACCATCCGTGCTCTGCAGATGACCTGAGTGAATCATAGGCAGGATATCCAGTTTAGCTCCCCCACAAACCACAGAGCTGTCCCCAAGGGCTTCTTGCCGCCCCCTTTCAGCAGCCTTAGGCCATGTCCACGACCCAGGCCTCAGCTTGGGTCTTGGGGGGAAGCGACGAGTGCGTTTTTAGTCTCTGCGGTGGCAGGTCTTCACTACCAAAGGTTCTTGGGCAGATGTGGAGCCTCCTGCTTCTTGYGTGCTCTGCGGAGACTCCACATAGAAATCTGTGGGCAGTTAGGAACACTTTTTCTCCCACAGTACATGGTTTTCAGGCAGGACATGCTCTGCTCTCCCGGTGCTCTGCCCTAAGCCGGCGGTGACCTCCTCCTCCTCCCCGTCCCGCGAAGCCGGCAGCCAGCTGGCTTCCCCGGCCGACACTCGGCTTTCCGTCGCGCTGCTCGCCAGGCTAACCTCACAGTACCTCGCTTGTGTTTGAGAAGGTGGAGCTGAGCCAAGAGCAACAGAGCTTGGTGCAGGAGGAAATCCCCCGGCACTCCGTGGAGATGGGGACTTCGCTGAGCGCACACTGCCCTGATTCAGCTCTCACAGCAGCAAAGGCGGAGGCCGAGAGACCTAGCGCAGAGGCAGCCTCCACCCAAAGAGGGCTCTCCCTTGCCCGCCCGGCAATCGCATCGTTACATCCTTGGACTCGTCTTTGCAAGGACCTTGAGATGTTTCAGAGAGACCTGCTTCCCCCCAGCCCCTTCCTGGCAGATCCTATTCCCACTGCGTAGAGGGGAACCAGTGAAGTGCTGTGACATCCGAAGGATAAGCAGTGGCAGAGCTGCTGACAGGACCTAGGTGTCTTTACATCCAGAGCTGTGTTTGGGCATGGAGAGTGGAAGCACGGGCTGACAGAGTGGGTCTTGAATTTGGGAYACTTTCTGGCTTGTTTGAGCCACGCCAGGCATGTTTCTGTAGCCTGGATGCTCACTGATACAGTTCAGACGATAACGTGCCCCTGTTTCGTGGAGTTTCTTAGAGTCTTTGTACTAAATACAGTAAGGGAGGTGTTACAAAAATGAAGCTCCTGCTTCCTGGTGTTGAGCTGGGAGAACCTTTTTGGGTTGCCAGTTCTAGGCCCACAACAGAGAATTGTTCAGGCAAAGATTAAAACAAGGGAGAACAGAAAAAGGTGACTAGATAAATCAACTGCTAATGGAACAGAAACATAACAAGGGGCAGTGTTGCCTGTGGGGCACAGCATTGGCTTCAGGCTGGAGGGGAGGATTTTGAAATTTTGAAATTTGAAATGGAGGATTTTAAATTTTGGAAATTCAGTGTGGTTCTCAGGAGATGTAAAGCTAATTCTCTAAATGTCTGTACAGTGCTGAGTCTCTGTGCCTCAGTTTCCCAGTGGTGGTTATTGTCTGGAGTTCCTTTAAAATGCTTTCTGGTGAGGCCAAGTAGCATAGGAAGTAGACCTYGGTGTCTGGTGGTGTTGGTGTTTGAAGGCAAGGTGTTTAGGATCCCGAAGACCCTCAATTAGATTGATGAGTGTGGAACAGGAAAAAAAAATGCTCCTAACAAGGGAAAACTGTGATTGTCAAAGGAGTTCAATGAAGGTAGCTGCCCTAGGGCATCCAAGAGCAGCCTGCTCAGTTTGCTCTGCTCCGTGGGTTCATGGGACTCAGTGTTTGTGCGTAGATGATCCTGCGTGTTCTCAAAATGTATTTCTCATTCCCCAGAAGCTCAGTGGTTCACCCATCTGACTGTTCACCCTTCTGAATGTTCACCCGTCTGACTGTTCACCCATCTGAATGTTCACCCATTTTTCTCCCTTCCTTTTTTAACCCCTTCCACCTCTTTCCTTTCACAGCATGGGGTGATAGTCGCAGATGAGGAAGAATATTTCATTGAACCGCTGAGCCCGGAAGCCAACGTGAGCGCAGGGAACGAGGGCAAGGGCAGCCCCCACGTCGTGTACAAACGATCATCTCTCCAGTACCCCCACATGGATGCAGCCTGCGGCGTGCTAGGTATCTGCACCTACCAACACAACCTCGATGCATCGCAGTGGCGGGTGGAAAGGTCTCTGTGGACCAGGCTTTGCAGCTCCACGCTGCCTTCCATGGAAAGAAACCAGATTTTTCTTATGCACTTTAGAAAGTTTTGGTTTTGTGCTTTCTTGTACCCATGTTAAGCGTTTCTGGTAGCCTGGTCTGTTGGAATTTGTTGTACTCTGCTTCACAGCAGGGCCTTGAGATTTGTCTGTAGAGGGTGGAATAGAAGAGAAAAAAAAATGCTTCTCATTGTTCTTAAGAAAATCCTCCCATATTTGGCCAGTTTACAAGGTATTGAGAAATTGTGGTCCACATATACTCAATAGAATGTTGTCTTTGGGTTTCAGTCTCCAAAACTTCTGTCCACATTGAGCATACTTCTGCTGCTGCAAGAAACACTCGTAGAAAGATGTCGCAAAGGGTGGGATATGGGATCCACTTAGTCATAGTGGGCTAAATGGGAGACATTTATACAGGGTGATGACTGTGCATCTACCCCCTCACCTCTGCCCCTGTAGACCTCTGATTTCCTAAAGGAATTAAACAGATCTACCCTTTTTATCYTCCCACACAAGCTCATGATCTTCTCCTCCTTGCCAGCAGTCAGCCCATGTCCCAGAAAATGGGGGAGATTCCCAGGCCTTTGGGAATGTACAAAGTTTCTCCATCCACCCAAAATGTTGCACATGTGCAGGGAACTCTTCCATCTGCTTAGAGGCTCCTCTAAAGCCTCCTTAAAAAAAGGATGAAAGGAGATGCTGTTCCTGCTGAGAGGCCAACTRGCATTGTATGGATTGGAGTCAGAGGATGCAGAAGGAAGGTTACTCCCTGTTCCAGCACGTTTTTGTGTCACTTTAGGATATTAGCCCATTGTCCCTGCAGTGACATTTGACTAGGTGAGGAATGACTAGGAATGACACTTGACTAGGAGGGATGGAGCCTCTGGCAACATCAGGGCATGGCCTGCGTGATGTGAGGGGACCAGTGTCCCTCAGGGCCTGCCAGTGTGTTGGGAGACAACCTGTGTTTCCCTGGCCCTGCTCTTCCAATCACAGCTCCTGAAGTCACGTTACACGAGGCTGCCAGCAGACTCCCCTTCTGCTGACTCTCTGCCACATTCCCCGGCTTCCAGACGAAAGTTAGCCTGTTCTCAATTGTTTCTTGGAAAGCAAAGACCGTAGAGCAGGAGCCACAGGCCAAGCACAGTTCAGAGCAACCACAGCACAACTAACCTCAGCAAAGATGCCCCCTGCCATTGCCCTGCAGTCCTGACCTGCCCRAGGAAGCAGGTCTCCAAGCACCCAACAGCAAGCTCCCTCCAGGCAGTCCAAGGGGCCGTTAGGTTGCAGGGACATATATGTTCAGCCCATCGTCCGGTCCACTAGATATCTGATGATGCTTGCATCAGAGGAGAGAAGAATTCAAATTGCTCTCTCAACAGGACAGTATCAGCAGTTATAACCCCCCAGATAGATCTCCTTCCCTGAGGTGGTGTCCAGGCACCACCTGGACCACCTGGGGATGGAGGCTTTGGTGCATGAGCTGCTGGCCCCACTGGATGCATTTCYACAGTCAGGTCAGTAGCACTTGAAGCTTGGAGCAAAGTCCTACAAACTTGCTGCTGCTGCTTTGGAGGCTGCAGCCATGACTGTGGAGGAAAAGCCAAGTCTTAAATTCAGGTCCTGGCAGGAAAAGGAAAGAGGAAATGATCTGCAATGACTTTATTTTCAGATTATGTCTGTGTAGTTTCTAAATCTGCACAGCTATTCCCTGTGACAAGGACAAGGACAAGGCTTTGTAGCACAGAAGCAGTCAAATGCACATTGATGGTGGCTCCAGGCTGAGGCAGCAGTGTGGTGCATGAAGAGAGTTGCCAAGCTCTTATTTGTGTTAAAACCAAGCTTCAACCTCTCACCTCCATGTGCTGCTGCAATGCTGCTGGAGGGCAACACACAAATCTCCTTTCATCCCCAGATGAGAAGCCCTGGAAGGGACGGCACTGGTGGCTGCGGACGCTGAAGCCTTCACCTGTGAAGCCATCGGGCAACCACAGCCAGCGAGGCCAGCTGCCCCTGAAGAGATCGGTCAGCACTGAGCGCTACGTGGAGACCCTGGTGGTGGCCGACAAAATGATGGTGGGCTACCATGGGCGCCGCGACATAGAGCAGTACATCCTGGCCATCATGAATATTGTAAGTGTTATAACCATAACACACACCTTTGAGGAATGTTGGGGCTCACGTGCTAGCAGCAGAGAGGAAACAGGAATAAATCCAGCTCTTAAGCCCAGAGGTCAAGGTTGGTGGGCACAGGCTGCCAAGTGCTTTTCCTGCAAGAAAAGTGGCATGGAAGAGACACAGTGGGAAAGTTATGGCTGTTGCAGGATCGCTGTGGCTTCTCCCTATCCCTAGAGCAAGAAGTTGTCTGAGGCAACGACCTGATACGTGGCCTCTTTTAGCAGCAGTGCTATTCTGCAGAGCCCTCAGGGATGTCTCTCCTATATAGCAGGGGGCAACTATTTGGGAAAGTTAAACTCCAGCCCATCTGACCGTGGCCGAGTACCGGACCGGGAGAACAAAGCCCCTTCTTTGACCAGCATCTCTCATCTCCAATTAGCATTGCAAATAGGGCCAAGCCAAACTGAGAAGCACACAGGAAAACACAAGGGCAGGGAGCTCTCACACCCTGGGGCTGAGCAGCCAGAGGGGTGGGAAGGAATATCCCCTGTTCTTCCCTGCAGCACTGCCGGGCTCTCCGCCTTGCTGCAATATCAGGTTTGAGTCATTGCTGGAGGCAGAATACGGGGCTAGACACATTAAGAGGCTAAGCTGGCTCCTGGAGGTGAGACTGGCTTGGAATTTGTCCATCAAACCTATGAAAGCCCCTCTGTGATGGGTCTTTGTCCTGTCCTCTGCAGGATCTGCTTTCATGGCTCGCTCTGTTTGCATTTCTAAAGCAGATGCCAGACTTTAAAACAATGCAGATTTTAACTGTTTCATCTCATGTGAAATGCCCATCCTGTGGCAGTAGATTTCTGAGAGAAAGTTGTCCTGTTCTCTGCTGATAGGAGTCAGGAAAGCTTTGTCCCCTTAGCTGTATAGTGCCAGAACCACAGGGCTTCTTCAGCTGAGCTCCAGGGAAGGAGCAGCTGCAGCAGCATTTGGACTTCACTTACTAGAATCCCTCCAGAAGGAGACATCAAGCTCTGAACGATGTTCAGGAGGTTCTACAGTGCAGTATGGAGGCCTGTAGCCATTTCTCCTTCCCAACCAGGCTGTGTTCTGACCCCACAGCCCACATTTGAAGCAGACTTGTTTCTATATGGTGGGCTGCCTGATATGTGCCTGCTCACCAGCTGATTGCACCATCACCCAACCTGCGAGCTCATTTTTAAGACTCGTCTTTTCTTGTTTCTTGGAGGTCAGGTTGCCAAACTTTTCCAGGACTCGAGTCTGGGCAATATTGTCAATATCCTGGTGACCCGGCTGATTCTTCTCACCGAGGATCAGGTAAGGTGGGCTTTGCCAAGGCAGCTTCCATCATGCTGCTGCCCTTCCTGTGTGGAATTGGGTGCTCGTCCTGGATGTGACCCCAGGGAGGTCCCTCCAGTCCAGACCATTGCAATCTATTGCAATCTCCTGGACACACCACACACTCCAGAAGGTGGCTAGTGACAGTGTTTTCAGGACCTCTTCAGAGCCTGAGGACTGTTTCTAAAAGGTCTATCATAATCCTCCTGAAGTCTTGCTTCCCATTGCCTCCATGCAAGGCAGGGGACGTCTGAATGTGTTGGTGTCCAGCTGGTCTGGGAAGCGTTGATGTTTATAAGAGTTTCTTTGGGAACATGTGATATTGCTTCCATTCCAGCCCACCCTGGAGATTAACCATCACGCTGGGAAATCCCTGGACAGCTTCTGCAAGTGGCAGAAATCCATCGTGAACAGGAATGGCAATGGGAACGCTATCCCTGAGAACGGCATAGCCAACCATGACACTGCTGTTCTGATCACTAGGTAAGGCTGTGTGTTAGCAGACATCTGCTGGAGGGGAGCATGTCTGACCTCTCCGTGAAAGGTGGGGAAGATGGTAGCAGTGTGATCCGTGCATCACAGCTGTGACAGGAGTGCCTCAAGCCATTGTGGGAACCAGTTTGGCTCACCTCCTTTTAGGTGCTTATGTGTGGACCTGAGCTCTCTCCTCGGGTAACTGGTGGAATTGACTTCATCCCATCTCCCCCAGGGCAAGGAGAACTGTACCCTGTGCCTCTCTTAATTCCCAGAATAATCATTTAGGTCAGTAGCTGAACTAGAGGCTCAATTGGACATGCAAGTTCAATGGAGGAGCCTGGRCCTTCACACTCAACATAGACCACCGCTATGTGAAGAGATAGGTGCTAGAGCAGAGGGCAGAAGGCGACTGCTGGAAGAGCATAGGGGTGGTTGGATGGACAGGGAATACAAAAGGGACGGTTGGGACAGTGGAAGGATCGAAGGGATGGCTGGAAGGGTGAAGGGTGCAGGCGGGGCGGCTGTAAGGACAGAGGGTGCGGAGAGCCACCCTGCCTCTCTCTGGTCTGCACCAGCCCTCTGGTGCCCACAGAGCTTCCCCAGGGCACGGAGGCGYGGGAAGGAGTCAGTGGCAAAAGCAAGCTGTGTTTGTGCCTTTTACCACCACCTCCCCCAGAGGAATGGAAGAAAGTCATAAAATGAAAGCACTGGGCAGAGGAGCCTCCAAGCGGGAGCCGGGCTCTTTGGCTTCCCTGCGCTGCTCTCCCGCTCCAGTTCCCTGCAGCCGCAGGAGCCGCACGCAGCCTGGCTCGTGTCAGGAGCTCGGGAAGCGTTTGCAGCGCCGGAGGAGGAGCGAGCACAGGGCCCTCTCGGCCCCGGCTTCACCCTCGCAGGATTGCAGCGTCTGCTTTTCCTCCCCTCGCTCGCACGTGTGGGACACGGCCGCTGACTCCAAATTCCTTGGCCTCCCACCAGATGTTTGCACTAACCCTAAGCAACTCGCTGGTCCTGCCTCGCTGAGGCCAAGTCCCGCGGCAGCCCTTGCACAGGCCAAGTGTATCCGGCCCCATCTCTAAGAAATTCCCCATCTCCTGATAACATCTTGCTGAGCTGTGGGCTTTTCTTCTCGCGCAGAGACGTGTCAAATCAGAACCTCAGAAGGGTTTAGCGGAATCTGCTCGAAACAAAGCAACAAATGTTTTTCACTCACTTGGTTTCCTGTCGGGGGTGAGAGGTTTGGACACTTCCAGCGAGCAGGAGAGGCCAAAGGGACAGGAGCCATTAGTAGGAACGTTTTATGCTTAACCCATCATGTGCTAGGAGCTCGTTTGCTCTCTGCTTTCATGCCCGTGGAAGCGATAGGATGAGCAGTATCAAACAGGACCTGGAGAAGATAAGGACATGGAGACAGGGAGGGTACATGGCTTTTATCACCTCTAAAGTTAAAATCCAATACTCGTTCTCTGGCCCACAGTGGTCTCTGGTTCTGTTATGGAGCTCCTTCTGCATCCCATTACATGGTGCTGCATCTCAGTTTGGATGAGATTTGCTTTTTGTCCTCACTAAGCTTTGACTTAACATAGTTAAAGATGGGCAGATGGTTGATTCCTCATTGCAGCGGCTGCAAGTTAAGGCAGGCAAGGGGAGGAGAGTCATTTTGAATCAACTCATATTGAATTTGTTTAGAAAATTCTCAGAGAAGAAAGAAATGGAAAAAAAGTAAAAATCAATTTAGCATCACTTAGTATTTGGCGAGTGAGCCTGACTCTAGTGAGCAGGACTATCTCCCTGACTGGCTTCAAGGCTGGAATAGCAATGTCCCTTSCCCTACTGATTTACTTATCTTATCTTATCATGAGAACCAAACTTTCCATTCCTTCCAGCACTGGTTCATGGTTAGGGGCCCAACATGTAGGAACATGCATGTTAAAAACCCACAGCAAATCTCAGCCTGGGGAAAATAAATGTCCTAAAATACGTGCCAGAGACTTGGCTTACCTTTTAGAGGCCTGTACTTCTCATTCCAGAAATGTCACGTGAACTGTGTGTGCTGTTTGAAGGGTTTTGGACATGATCACTTGGAGATSAATTTTTGAGAAGTTTTTGAGTCACCACAATTGCAAGTGTTGCTCCTGACCCTGCCTCCTCTTTCCTTGCAGATACGACATTTGCATCTACAAGAATAAACCGTGTGGCACCCTAGGTAAGTAGGACTTTGCTCCAAGAAGCTGTTGCAATGGCACAAGCTGTCTCTCGGGTGGCACACCGCATGGGCACATCTCAGGAGCTTGGCGAGGAAGGGCTGCACCATCCTCGTTGCCTAACTAGCAGGCTGAGGGGAAGTAGCTTGCCTGACGCTACCGACAACACCGGCGGCRGGGCCAGAAACAAGTCCTGCCTTTCCAGCCTGCTAGACTGTAGAGCCTCCTTATTTCAGTAAACACTAAAAGCAGCAAGCCAGAGGACGGATGGGCTTTGGAACACTTTGCTGTTATATCCCTGGGTCAGCTCCAGCGTGATGATTAAGAACTGTTCGCGTTTAAGGCTAGTCCATAGCCTAGTGGAGTATTCCTGGCTTAGCAGAGAGAAATGAGACTTTTTTGTGATGACTATAAAGGGAGTTCTTTATTTAAACTGCTAGACACAGACAGACCCTGCAGCTCTTGCTGGCTGTAGCTCCCAATTTGTCTTGCCTTGGTCTAGACTAAGCAGTCAGGAAGGGATTATTGCTGTGAATCACTTCAGTTAAAAAGAAGAAGTTGGTGGATCTCTGACCTGATGAGGCTGCGGCCGAAGTGCCTGGGAGGGAGGCTGAGGCTGGATGGGTTGTGGCAGCTGGATTCCTTCCTTTAACGGAGACTGCTCGCTTCCTTGACGCTGGAGCAGAGCACACAGCCTGCCCACGTCTGTGTCAGTGGGACACGGTGTGTGCAGAAGGTCTGGGGAACCCACTGTTGTCATCCAAGAGCATTTCTGTGTTCTTCAACCCTCCTGATGGAGTCAGGTTGGACTCCAGAATGCAGTTGCTGAGTGTCAGCCAGGACCAGCTACAGGCAGGTTGGATCCTGAATTATTCAGTTTTCCAGGCTATTCTGTCAAGGTTAGGAGCCAAACCAAGCCTTTGTGTTGGCTGATCCTAAGTCCAAGCCAAAACAGACCCCTGATTGCCCTGCRAGTGGTGCCAGTGTGATGACAAGACCTGCTCATCACCTGCACACACAGTGTGGAGTTCGAGTGTGAAATTTCGTTCAATTTTTGAGCTATTGGCATTTCCAAGCTTGTCATGGTGCTTGTCCAGTCAATTGATGGACAGTGCTAAGAGACCATGTGCCCACAGCCCATGAGCCCCAAGGTCCATCCCAAAGCCTAGTGCAGCCAATGGAAAGAAGGATGGTCTTAACAGCAGGTTGTACTCAGTGCTCCTGAGCATGAAGCACATTGTTGAGTCCCAAAATGCAACCCATATCTCCACATGATACTCTGTGCTGGCCTCGTATGGCAGCTCTGTCTGGCTTTCCTAGGCCTGGCCCCAGTCGGAGGGATGTGTGAACGAGAACGAAGCTGCAGCATCAACGAGGACATTGGCCTGGCTACAGCCTTCACCATTGCCCACGAGATTGGCCACACGTGAGTACTGTACCTGAAGAGTTCCYGTGTGTGTGGCCACCACAAGGAAGGGGTTCCTCTAGGTTTGCTTCTGATAGCARTAGCTGTAAAGTTCTTCTTACAGCTAAATCTTGATGCTTAAGAGATTTATAAATTTCATCTGTGGTCTAGCCAGCCCAGTCAGCCCAAAGCAACATCCCTTCATAGCCCAGATCTTTACTGCGCTAGATCACACTCACATGGCTTGGAAGTCCCCTTTTGAGATGCTGAGTTGACCTGCTCTTGGACCACCCTGCCCTTTGTCCTGCTCATAATACCACCCAGCATCCAGCATCTCTAGAAGGGACCTTTTCCTCAGAGGCACTTCCATCAGCCTGGGAGGATTAGGAACTTGAGAAGACTTTTTTGTCCCTAGGGGGTCAGTCCTTCTGAGGTGCCCAGATACGATGTTCTGCTTATGTCAGAACATAGTGTCCTTCTGGTTTGCCAGGCTTTCCCTGGGAGGTTGTCCAGTGACTAGCATCCCAGTTCCTGGCTTTTCAGCTCATCCAGGGCAAAAGGTGGGTCAAAAATGCAACAGCTGACTGTGTTTCTGCTGCCATGGTAATATTTTCTAGGTTTGGCATGAATCATGACGGGGTCGGCAACAGCTGTGGCTCCCGTGGACAAGAAACAGCCAAGCTCATGGCTGCTCACATCACCATGAAGACCAACCCCTTTGTATGGTCCACATGCAGCAGGGATTATATCACCAGCTTCCTCGAGTAAGGAATCCACTTCCCCTTACTCTTCTTTCTTCCTCACAAGCAGTACATATCTCCAGCCTTTCACAGTCACTGTGGGGAGTGCATAAAGCCAAAGAAAAGAGCAAAGGAAAGTGCAAACAGCCCATTCACCTTCTRTCTTGCACTTTATCCTGTCCCAGCCAGGCAGGTGCTTCCCCAGACTCCTCCAGACTTTCCTCTGGTTTGCTCGTCTGCTTAAAGATACTAACTCTACTTCCCCTTCAGCTATGAGACCTCTGTTTAGGTTCCTCTCTTCCAGGAACTTTACTAATAAATAAAKAGCTTCTGAAGGCGTTTGGACAGTTCTGAAGTTCAGCCAGGAATCACAGGGAAGGGTTGATATGGTAAGGAAGGAGGATCTGGAGACAAGACTGGATCTGTGCARTGCAGGCAGCTTCCTCACATGCCGAGGAAAAGAGTTGTCAGGTGTGAACAGGCAACTTGGGGTGGGTGGTTTTTTTGGTTTTTTTTTTCAAAAATATGTTTAGGAGTTAGCAGAATAAATTTAGATTTATACCGCTCAGGAGAGCCCCGTGTCCAGAGTTCAAGAAGTCCGTAAGCTTTCTGTCAAAAAGCAAGCAGTCGGGATCAATTTTGGTGAGGCTTGTGGTAGGACACAGCACTGCCTAACAGAAGGACTGGCTGGATCTTAGAGAAGAAGTGGAAGAAGCGGGTGTGTCAGGTCATTGTGGCAAGAGCAGTCTCAAGAAAGTCTGAGTAGCAGAACTTAACTGACAAGGATCAAAGCCGAGACACTGCTGTTGTAACACGAGAACAGACCTTTCTGATGGGCTATCGAGTGTCCCTCCATCTCAGAACGTTTGGTCAGAACGACATGGCTTATCGTTAAATTCCAGCTCTAGCAGCTCATGTTTGGCTGTAGCAAAATCTGTCCCTCTCGGCCTTTGCCCCCTGGCCTCACAACACAGCCGAGCACATTCCATGTACAGTGCCAGAAGAATGCAGCAGCAGAGGCTCCCTTGTCCTCAGGTAACCCTGAGAGGTCTCAGCTGGGCTGGCGGAGGATGGCGAGTTTATGTCAGTCTGCTCTGTAATTGATTCTCACCACCCCCACATGAGGCCATGGGCCTAAGAACTTCCTCCATGCCAGTGCTGTGATGTGTGCGAGACCCTGGGACGTGGGGCCAGGGGAGTGGTGACAAGGGYATTAATTTAAGGAGAGCTTAGAGCAGCAAGGAAGGGCAGAGGGAAAGGCGTATTTCTTGCAGAAGTTGGATGTTCCTACAAAGGCCTGGCAGGCAGAAGGACRGGGCTTGGAGAGCAGGGGGCCCTCCACACTCCGCACCTCGGGCCGCTCTCACTTATAACCCGGCAGCGGTGTGGGGTGAGGGCAGCCGCCCCACCACACTGGGGCCCGTGCTGGTGTGCAGGGTCCTGGGCCCGGGACGGCTTCCGTGCTGCCACGCACCGTCTGCTGCACCTGGCGCCTCCGAAGGACAACCAGAGGTTGGCAATGGCTTGCAAAACCCTCAGAGCAAAACTTCTGGAATTCCCTAGGAATGAGCGTGTGCTTAAAGTGTTTCCCAGAATCCACCCCTGAGGACAGAAACGCTCTGAGGACGTAGACTCAATGAGTTTAGAGCATTTTTTCAGCACTGTTTCTGCCTAGAAATATACTTACCGAAGACCCTGATAGAATTATCTCCAAAAGCAGTCCAGCTTGGGAGAGCTTAGCCCCAGGCTGAGAGTGGTTTGCTTGCTGCTAGTTTTAACCACCACATTTTCCTACAGACCATTCCCAGCTCTGATTCTCGCTTCTTGCTCCCTGCTCCAGCTCCGGGATGGGATTATGCCTGAACAACGCGCCTCCCAAGCAAGACTTTGTCTACCCAACAGTGGCACCAGGACAAGCCTACGATGCAGATGAGCAGTGCCGCTTCCAGTACGGAGTTAAATCTCGCCAGTGTAAATACGGGGTAGAGAGCCTTCCTGCTTTACTATCGGTTTCAAGGGGATGGAGGACTGGGGCTGTACAGGGCAAAGGGCCATGGGGCCATTCCTCTGCTGGCCACATCRCTTTGCTGTCCTGCTTGCAATGAGGGGCACCTGAATATTCCCTGGGCGCGTTGCCTTCCTTCCYTGTGTGAGGACAGAGGAGGTCATCACATACCTGCAAAGGTTGAGCTCAACTCAGTCTCCATCACATTAGTCCTATGAGAAGAGTCCCCTTGCCTCTCTGGGTGTTTTGGTTGTCGCTGAACCACGAGGGCTGCAGCTGAAAGCCAAGCTGCAGACCCTTCACGCAGACTCCTGTGTCAGTTCACAGGGGGATTTTTCATAATCCTTGCTAAAAGTCATTGTACAAATCACTGGCACATAAAATTAGAAAGAGAAACTTCTTGGTGAGAGATCTCCCCAGGTGAGGCAGGCAGCYGTACTGTGGATGTGTCCTGGATAAGGCTGCCTAAGGGACACCCAAGGAGTCCCTGGCACTACATGTTGATGTCCCCTGATACTTGAATCCTGTAAACCGCTGAAAGGAAAGGCTGTTTCAGGAGAAGAGAGTCTTCCTGGACCTCAGCCTGACCTTTTGGTGTGTTTACCATGTTGGGCGTTGCCAACTATATGAGCAAGGCAGTGAGTGGGAAGTGTGTGCACTTGAGGGCTAACTACGTAAGGCATCGACTTTTCCAAGAGAAGGCAGAAAATCCAGCAGTGAGATACACTGGCATCTGTGTTGTCTGGCAGACACATGTGTGTATATCCACCCTAGCTCAAGCCCTGGAAAGCTGTGGAAGAAGGAAAAGCACCAAGTCAGATTTTAGGTATTGCTGAAGCCAGTGGCACYGAAGTGATCTGATATTAATTAGTTTATCGCTCTGAGTCTTCATCTAGTCAGCTTGGCTAAGAAACAGAAAATGAGATATTATTTTTCCTCCTCCGGGTCTCAGAAGTTCAGCAGTGATGAAACAGCAGAGCTTGGCTCTCTCAGATCCAATGCTGTCTTATCATGGGGACTTGGGGCCCCAGGTCCTAGTCCTCAGTTTGAAAAGTGCCCCAGAGCCAGCTGGGAGGAAGGCAGATAYAGTCTCTCCTCCAGAGCATCATCATCATCAGGATAGGTCTGAGGATGAACCTTGCAGTTAGTGTCCCTCCTAATCTGAACCAGAGGCAGTGGAATGGAAACTTTCCATGTGTGCATGCCTGTTTCCCAGATAATTTGTAACTTGGGCAGATGCTTCCCGTGTGTATACAAGGATCACAAGAGCACAAGATGTCCTCGCCATGACCCTTCCAGCCCCTCCTGCCTTGTGTGTGGTGTGGGAGAGCCACGAAGGGCACAGGGGCTCGTGCTTGCGCCTGCATCCTGAACGTGCACATGCATCCATGCATCCTTGCCCCACACAAACAAACTCCAGGGCAATGGCACAAACACGGGAGCTTCCTTTTTTTTTTCTTCCTTTCCCCAGTCTCTTCCATTCCCATGTCATCATACAGCAGGCCGTGAATGACTGCAATAAAACCACCTCCAGCTGGGCTTGGGAGAGTGGGGCTGGGAAATYGAATCCCTTTGCGTCTTGGAGGAGGCCGCTTGCAGAGCCGAGGTGCTCGGGGCCGACGCTGCAGCCTTTTCCTGAAGCCTCCTGCTGCAGCGCCGGAGMGGAGGGAGCGCCCCGAGCCCCGGCGCTGCCGGCGCCCCTCCTGGTACCCGCACCGAGGATTCCCAGTCGTTGAGTCAGATCGTCCTGCCTGGGTATCAGTTACTGTTTAGAGCACGGCAGTTGGCGGCGCCGAGGAATTCCTTACTGGAAGGCTGAAACGAGCCTGGAAGGAATGATGAAGAGGCTGTTACCTGACTGAAGGCAGGCGGCCTGGGGGAGCTCTGCGTGGTCGGTCCCGCTGCCGGAGGGGCCGCCCGGGGTTGCTRCCCCGGCCCCCGTCACGGCGCCGCCGCCACCTCCAGCCCTCCGGTGCTGGAGACATCCTCGAGGTAGCTGGGCTGTTCGGGCTCCAATCTCCTATCTCAGTTTCCTCTGTGGACAATGTGAACCTGTTTCTTTTTCATACTTTTCGTATATAACTTAAGTCATGGCAAGCCATTTTCTACGAAAGTTTTCCATAAGTTCGTTTCAGTAACTAAAGGAGTACAATTATGACCTGGCCAGAAATTTGGCTCTGCCTTTTAGCTGTTGCTTCGCAGTTTGCAGGTGTTAAGATCTGGCCTGCCTGATGAAGCAGAAGAGCAGTTTCCAAGGATCAGGGCTTAGCAGCTGTGATGAATTTGCAGAATCTCTGTCATGGAGCTAACTTTTGGGTGAGCTTTAGATTGACTGGTAGGGGAGATGAACCAGCTGAGGGGTGATGTTGTTTGCTGGAGCCGTGAGGGATGAGTTGGAGCTCCGTTGGAGCTCAGGCAGCTTCCTGGAATGAGGGCGGGAGTCCTCAGTCCGGTTTTGTTCACTGGCTCAGACTGCACCAGGAGCTAGTGCGGGCAGGGAGCAGAAGTGCCCACCTCTGGAGCTGCTTAAGGGCCTGTTCACATTCTGGCATTAGTGAGATTGTGCTAAAAGTAGCTCTAGAACTACCAGCAGGACCTGAAGGCCCCTTCAAAACTGTTTTGCTTCTGGGAGATTACCAGAACACAAACTAGCCTAACCATGACCCGCAGTGTATTCCTGTAAGAGGAGAAGGCAAATTTGACATGAACCATTTATGCCGTGTTTACGTTCCCAGGGAGTCCCGAGTTCCTCAGTGGCATAGAGATGCTCCTGGTAGGTGCTGGACACTGGCCCTTGTCTTTAACCTCCCCAGCTAACACCCAAAAAAGGAAACGTTCCTCAGCCTGTAACCCTGGGAAAAGGGTCAGAGTGGAGCATGACAGGATTAACTTTACTTACTGGGATGTCCAAAGAGATGAGTTGTGTGTGACGCCAACACTCAGTTCAGGTGCTTGGAGTCGCTGGCGAGCCAATTGTGGCACTCTGGCTCATGGACACGTGGAAATCTCAGGAAAGCCGGACCCCAAGAAAGATGCTGGGGCTAGGTCTGGAGAGTGGGTGATCTGTCAGGGCGCTGGGGTGGTTCCTGCTGGAAGCACCTTGCAGGATTTCTTGTTGTGTTTTTTTYCCCCTATGCTGTGAAAACACATCTGTGACAGTGTCCCACCCCAGCTGGTGCTTTTCAAGCACACCGGTGTGTTGCTGCCCCAGTCCTAGCAGCCCCTCGCGTGAGTGAATCCTAATCTTGGCTCCATTTCTTTGTCTCTTTCTTCTTCCCTCCCTCTCTCTCCCCCAACATCTCTCTCTTTCCAGGAGGTCTGCAGTGAGTTGTGGTGTCTGAGTAAAAGCAACCGCTGCATAACCAACAGCATCCCAGCTGCCGAGGGGACCATATGCCAAACTAACACCATTGACAAAGGGGTAAGGAAGGCCAGGGCACCGGAGCACGTTATCARTGAGGGGCTGAACTCCCCTTCCAGTGATAACCAGCATTATTGGTCACCGTGGGGAGGGCTCGTTTGGTTTGATAGCAGCAGCCACCCTTTCCTCCTCGCTGCCTCCTGGATCTCCGTGCTCAGAGGAGCTTCCAGCAGCTCAGAGAGGGAGGATGGGTCTCACCAAGGAGCCCAAAGGCCCCATGTTGAATTGAATTAAAGTCGCTGCTTCGCTGAGCTGCTTCGGCTCACTTAGGAGGGCTAGTGACACAAGGGCAGGCAATGGCTAATGCTCAAAACGAGTGTTTGTCTTGGGTCTGCTGAGGTGTCCCGAGAAAATGGATTTGGGGGCGGCCTCTTTCCCAAGAAAATGTGTTTTGATRGTTTCCCCAAGAGCACAATGGTTTTGTAACATCTCATCTGCTTGTGAAAAAACTGCATGGAAATGCTAAGTGTAAGGGAACGTTATTTCTTTGTACTCACCTGAAARGGGAAGGGAGGCCTTTCCATGACCTGTCATTTTGAAAGTGAGTTTTGACATGACAGTTGCTCACAGCTCTGCTTTCCGTGCACCTCCTACAGCTGTTTGCACCGACACAAAGCAAGTGTGAAACCCTGCAAACCAAGTGACTCACACTCCCCTTTGCAAGCTGCGAATAATAATTGGGACAATAGAGAGGCAAGGCTGGGATGTTCACCATAAAATGGGCATGTGTTTTTCCACTAGGGTAAAAAATAATTCCCAAGAAATTCAAGTTRTTTCAAATTCTTGAGAAGCTGGGAAAGCTCATGTGCGGGAAAGAGGGTGGCTTTGACAATAGCATTATTCTTTGTAAACAGTCATCTCGGCTCTGCTAGGAGTTAGGCTGAAAAGGATAAAACAGTTCCTAGGACTGAACTTCCCTGCTGCTTGGGAAGCACCATGTACAATGGGATTTTTTCTACTGATGATCTTTCCTCCTGGCTATTCCCACTTTGAGTGAACCAGGAGTCTTCAAATATCAGAAGAAAAGTGAAGCAACAATAGTCACAGTGCCCCAAACTCATTATAGCTTAGTTGCTGATTCATTTTGAACGCCCATTTACTTTCTTGTGCCTCAGTCTGTCCTTTGGCATTAATGCAGGCTTCAGAAGGGGTTTGATGTCCTTGGATGATATTCTTGGGTGAAAAAAGATGCACCTTTGTATTGAATTTTTGGATCCTCACCAGCTAGAGCTCGTGGTTGGTGGTCTGTAGGATGTAGGCTGCTGGGTGGGGTCTCAGACTTCAGCAGTTTGCTCGAGCTGCTCTTCARGGGCTGCCCCGGCTTTTCCCTTTTCAGCTGGAGAAAGCAGAGGGAAAGGTTAAGTCACAGAAACTATTTGAGCAATGCAAGATTAGATGAGAGATAGGCTGAGTTTCTGTGATCTGCCGTGTGACCTGSAGAGCAGCAAGCAGGCAGAGATTGAGCTGAGCTCTCCTGAACGGAGGCTGCTCACCACATCACACACCCTCTGCTTGTTTTCCCCTTCCAAATTCTCCTTTTTTTTCCCTTTTTTTTTTTTCCCCTTTTTTGGGGGCTATTCTCCAGGGGCCACTAGGGCTTCACTTACGTTGCTTCCGTGAGTCACRGCGGGTGACTTCGGGGCCCAGCTCCGTGGGCGCGAGGTGCCGCACGCTCCCCCTGCTCCCGCTGTGAGCCAGGCCGTGCTCAGCACCGCGGCCCTGGGCATGGCCTGTCGTCACTCACCCTTGCTCCTGCGCAAGGACACGCTGTCCATACCKCCCGTGCTGCCCGTGGCCGAGCAGGGGAGGGTCTCRCTCCAGCTCCTGCAGGTCTCTCGCTCCAGCCCCTGCAGAGGGTCTCCTGGCAGGCAGGGCGTGGCGGCAGGTCCCATCCTGGGTGCTCTTGGGCACTCTTAGGTGCGTGGTAGGGGTTGCAGATGCCAGGCAGGCTACTGAGCCCTGCCTGCGGAAGCAGCAGTGTCAGTCCATTGAGTTTGCAGCTGCTTCAAGCAGGGGTACCAGAAGGGCCCATCTTCCCTGCATGGGATCCCTCCTTTAGAAGCCTGCTGCTACACAAGGTGGTCATTAGCRAAGTGTTTTGGAGGTTTGCAGTCCATCTTCCTCTGCTAGCTGTGCTATCTACAGAAAGTCTGGCTCAAAAGGAGCCMGGARAAGCCATGCCAGCAGCTCCAGGGTGGGTCATCAGCTCCTGGAAGGAGCACACAGTGGTTCCTTCCTTCCTGGGATTATCTGAACCCCCAGGGCACAGTGTCGGGCACTGTGCCCAGAACAACTTGAGTGAGTCTGTCAGTGTCCTGCTCCTGGCAATGTCTGTGACTCAAGGGGGTGCAGGACACTTTCCAGGTCCAAAGAAAATATTTCATACACACATTTGCAAGATCCTCCCTGGTAATCCGGAGTGCACAGCATGTACAAATGGCGAAGACCGCGATTCAGAGGAGAGGGCACGGGGAGCAGGTGAATGCCCCCCACTATGGTGAACTTTCCTCCAAGGCCATCGCAGCTCAGGTTTTAGACTCCACAGCCAGAGCCCARCCACACACCTTCATTCCTGGGGAACATGGAGCTGATCGGCAGCTCAGCCTGGTGTCTGGTGGCCACTGCCACMTCCACCCGGGTTAGGTAGTGACCCAGATCACCGCCTGGTGGATCCTGAACTTYTCCCCATGTGTGACCCAGGCTAGGTTGCTGTCTAGGAGGGGAGGTTGTGTACTCGGGATCTCTGAAGCTCTCTCTTCCCCAGTGGTGCTACAAGAGAGAATGTGTGCCTTTTGGCACCCGACCAGAGGGTGTGGACGGTGCCTGGGGAGCCTGGTCGTCCTGGGGAGAGTGCAGCAGGACGTGTGGAGGAGGTGTATCGTGCTCCGTTCGCCACTGCGACAGCCCACGGTAGGTGTATGTGCCCACAGCTGCCTGCTCGTGGCCCTGCGCTGTCCCGGCTGCAGGACGTTGCTGTGGAGATCGGTGGGGAAGGTGCCAACCACGCGCCTTAGCCACACTGCCCTTAATGGCTGGAGGGATCAGGAGAGAACTGAGTTCAGTGGGTCGCAGTTCTCGCTGCATTCACTTCACAACTGTCCCCATAGCCTTTCCAAGGCACTTGGCACTCTTACATTTGGTGCTGGCACTGCAGTGAACATGGACAGTCCCAAAGTCCCTTGGACAACCCCAAAGTCCCTTGGACAGCCCCACCATAGGCAGCTTGCAGCATGAGATTTTCTATGAGCAGGTCCTTGCAGCAGAGCGGGGCTGGGGAGAGTCACGGTGTTCCTGTAGGTTTGGGGCAGCTGGCAGCAATGAGCGTGCTGTTTCTTCCCTCTCGTTCCCCATTCAACAGGCCCACGATCGGAGGGAAGTACTGCCTGGGAGAGCGGAAGCGCTACCGGTCCTGCAACACCGACGTGAGTACCMCGTTCAGGGTGCTGCGTGGGGCCCTGGGACGCTGCTGCGGGCTGGGTGTGGGCAAGTCGTGCTCTGCCAGGAGCAATCCCATGGGGAGGGAAGCCGAGCAGGACTGGGCACGCCTGCCCCGGCTGCAAGCTGCTTTGGAGAGCCGGTGGGTGGTATGTACCTGCAGGGCTTCCCCCTCAAGAAGGGAGCCCACAAAGATAACATGGAAAATAAGGAGAGATCAGAGGCTTCCAGCACTGGCGCAACAGAGACTGGGTCTTGCATGCTGCAAGGACAGGCCCGGTCAGGTGAGAAAGGTTCACTGCAAACACTGCTCCAGCCCCACTTCCCAAGGCCAGGTGCTGGAACTCATGGGAGGCCTACCACTGTGCTTGAGTGGAGCTGCACTYAGAGCGTGGAGAAGAACAACTAAGCCTTGGCCCCAGAAAATGCTGATTTTAATGCCCTAAGGCYGGTAGCGAAAATAATAGATGCCTTCCCATTACTTCCCCTGCACTTTTTAGCCTGTGTCTGGCTTTTCAGAGGTCTTGCTTACTCAACTGCTTGCAAGAACAAGTGTTGAATCTCTAGACAGACTGGCAGGGACCCATTGACTCTTGCCATTGGTCTTCAAATAGTGTTAAGCTTCACAAGAAGGATGCCCCAGCTGTCACAACTGAAATCTATGTCCTGGAAGGGCTGTTTCTGGTCATGATTGTAGCAACTCCTGCCCCGCTGATAGGTAAACCTCTCCACTGACCCCCYGGCCCTGTCCCCACAGGACTGCCCTCCTGGTTCCCAGGACTTCCGAGAGTTGCAGTGTGCCGAATTCGATAACGTCCCTTTCCGAGGGAAGTACTACACCTGGAAGACRTACCGGGGAGGTGAGTGATGCAGGGCGGTTTGGAGCTCCTCAGAGCATCTCCCAGCTTCRAGTGCTCGAGCGGGCAGAGCTGGAGGAGTCTTAGGACTTTGGTCGCCTCTCCTTGGCACTCATGGTTCCTACCAAGCCCGTGCCTATCTGCTCCAGCAAGCCCTTAGTCCCCGTCTTCCCCGGCCCAGCTCATGCAGACTGTCCACTCTCTGCTGCAGCACCCGCGTGCCCGTGSCTGCCTCCCCTTTGCGTGGCTGTGGGTGAGGGCTCCCTCCTCAGACAGCTGGCTCCCAGCACTGCAGCTCTGYCATGCCCTTGTCCTGGGTCACATAACTCTCTGCAATTGTTCTTGGCTCTGCCAAAAACCAATTCCAGCAGTGTTGAAGCTGTTTAGATTCTTTCCTTAAGCCTGATTGTTTGCTTAATTATACAGTGRACAAACACAAAGGCAGACAAGAAAAAGGAGTTGCAAAAGCCATGCAAGCTACCACCCCGTTCCATCCAGCACTCCTGCCTGATGGGKCAGAAGGGCAGCTCTCCCCACCCAGACAGGTTAAGATTTCAGCTCCTGCTTAAGCAGGAAAGTATCTGAACCACTGGATGTGGCAAAAAGCAATACCCACCTCTTCCCTGAGGTCAGCCCTAGCATGTCCTGCAGAAGTGTCTAGCTAAGCGGAGGGGGCGGGAGGAGGTCTCCGTGGCAGAAATCTCTTAATAATGAGAAAGAACAGTGCGTCTCCTTCATGTAGTTAATGAACTTGACTGGGGAAATCCTTCGCAGCTGTGTAAATAAGCACACCTCCCAGCGGGGCTCCTGCAGCCGGAGCAGATGTGCTGAGGCTGCAGGGGATGGATCAATAAAAATGTAATAAAATTGCAAAGCAAGAAGTCACACAGAGACCCCAATGGATTCTGAGGTGGAAAACAGCCCCGCAGGCTTCATCCGCCCTAGCTCAGACCTCTCTCTTCTCCCCAGTGAGAGGCAGGCACGGCCCCGTGGTCCAAGTGCAGGCCTCAGCCCAGGGAGCGGTTGGCCAGTTGCACATGGGTCTCTGCTTCCGTCTGGTCTTGACACTGATGGTTGCTTTGGCTTTCAGAAAGATCCTTTCCCCTCTTTCTGCTTCAGCTTCCTCTTCCATAAAATGAGGTGGGAAATTTTGTCTTCCTCCCAGAAGGCTGTCGTGTATTCACGTTTTGAAGGGATTCAGAACGTGAAACACACGTTCTGTGTTTCAGAAGCTCRCCTGGCTTTGGGAAATGGTGGTGGTGGTGTTTGGTCGTTAGGGCTTTTTAATTCAGAGTCATAGAGTATTGCAATATTCCTCAGGTAAGGAAACTGAGGCATAAGCAGGGAAGTGGTTTGCCCATGTTAACAGAAAGAGCGGTGGGACGGAACCTGCATCTCCTCAGCCTGGGCTAGAAGTCAAGGAGAGCTCCCATCTTCTACCTTTCAAGAACTGCATGCTGAAACCTGCTTGTTTACAACCCATCAACTAGTGACTCCTGCCAGGTTAGCAGCAGCCTCCCTTCAGGGCCTGGGCTGTCCTGGATGGTCCCAGATCACTTGGGACCATGGTGGCATCAGGCCACCTTTACTATTTCTCCCCTATGAGTTTCTTTGTTCAGGTCTGACCAATTTGGCAGGACCTTGGCACCAGTTACTCACCTCTTTAGTTGCCAGTGGGATTCTGTGATTCTCAGTGCCATCCAGGTGACAGAGGCACATCTGGGGAGTTAGCGRGTGATGGTCCCTTGCATCCATGTGTCCATGTGGCTTGTGTGGCGAAGGGCACAGATCCCATAGACCGTTTGAGAAGGGAAGGAGCAATCCACCGAAAGCCTGGCCCCAGCTACCGGCTCGCTGGCAAGTGGAGGTTGGCTTTTGCATGGGGCCAGGAAAACGTGTGTTCCCGGCACTGATTTATAGCAGTTGTGGAGCCCAGACCCCAGCAGCGCAGGATACACAGCCCCGTGAAGAAGCGCTGAGCTCAGCCCTTCGGAGCTCAGCAGTCAGCAGATAGCGCGTGGAATGCGGCTTGCATTGCTTGTTTGTGTTCTTTCATTCGCTTAGTTCTGCGTTTTGCTCTTGGCGGACGCAAGAGCCAAGGGAGAGCGGAGCGGCTCACGGGGCTGAGAGTACGATGGGGAGGAGCAGGGGCGCGCAGAAAACAGGAGATTGCTCATCATAAGTTGTAGCACGTCTGAATTCCTCCAAGGGCTGTGGCATGCAGGAGGAACCAAACCTGTCCTCGAGGCGCGGTGCGATGGGTCAGTGCAGTACGACCCTGCTGTTATTGATTTGAATCTCACTAGCCCAAAGCAAAAGAAAACACAGTTCTCCGTGAACTTGATAATGGCCTGTGGATTCCCCTCCCTGGGGACACGGGTTTAGGATTTGCAGTGTTTGTGGCAGAGCTTGTGTTGCTCAGGGCTCCGGGCTGCTTATCTGCTGTTTGTTTTCCAGCTGTCTGGGGACAAGTAATGTTCTCTGGGCAGGGGGCAGACAGAAAGGGTCCCCCTCCATTGAGGGGACCCTGCTCCTTCTATGGCAGACCCACCTGTGCACACCCGTGCACGTGTCCTGCAGAGCCTGCCCTGACTGTCCATTGCCAAACGCAGGACCAGGCTTGGGCTGAGCACCCCGTGCGTGCCGTGCAGGCCTCCTAACGCTGGTCTGCAGACAGCAATGAGCCGGCACAGGAGGACGAGGGCCCAGCTCCCACCAAAGCTACCACTTCTTTGGGGTAAGGGAGGGCATTGCATCCTGGCCATTTATGAAGATCTGGCCCTYGGTGTCCACATGGAGAAGACTTGAAGCATTTTGTGATCCCAAAGGATCTTTTTAGGGTCCTCACGGTTGCCACCTTCTTGTTGCTGTGGTACCGAGAAGCCACCAAGTGTCACCTCTCATGGAAATGAGCAATTTCCGCTTGTCTAGGCACTGATACAGGCCTTTTCCCAGGCCTCCTGCTCCACGGCACACTTCCACGGAGCTGAACTGCACTTGCAGGTCTCCTGCTGTTCCTCCCTGCCCTGGCCTTGCTCTCCCTTCCCCGGGCTGCAGCGGGGGCACCGCCGGCCCCGCTCCCCTCCAGCCGCCCCTTGAGGTTCTCGGACCACCTGCAGCTTTGGCTTGGGAATGCACCTCTGCCAGGGAACCGCGAGCTCCTGGGCTCCTTGGGATACTCAGGGAATGCAGGGAGCCCTGCCATTTGGACCAGAATATCATAAAATACAACGGCAGGGGAGAGGAAACTGCTCTGCCCAAATCTCTTTCCATAATGGTCCGGCCTTTGGGGCCMCCTTGGACAAATCACTTAAGAGCTGGCTGCCTCAGTTTCCCTGCCTGTAAATGGGGATATTGACTGCTTCTGCAGAGTGCTGGGCGATCCAGGTGTTGTTTCCTTCCTTCATCAGGTGATGCCCAYGTTTTCTGGCCGTGCAGCGGGGACGGTGCCCGCGTGTTTGGCATTGTGCTGGGTTTATGGGTTCTCTGGTTCGGTGCCCGTCACTGGGGACAGTGTCTGGGCACCTCCAAGGGTCCCGCTGCTCAGCAGGGACCACCTCGCAGACACCTGGAGCTGCCCAGTGGGGTCACRCTTAGGAGAGAGGCTGTGGGAGGCTGCGGGGGAGGCAGCTGTGGGAGGCTGGCTGCCTCCTTCCCCTCTCTCCTTGGGTGCTTCGCCCGAACAGCCCGTTCTTTCCCAGGGGGTGTGAAGGCCTGTTCCCTCAACTGCTTGGCCGAGGGCTTCAACTTCTACACGGAGCGAGCTGCGGCCGTGGTGGACGGGACGCCGTGCCGGCAGGACTCCAACGACATCTGCGTCAACGGCGAGTGCAAGGTACCGCCGCGGGACGGCACCGGCTCGGGGCTCGGAGGGGAGGGCAGCCTCCCTGTGCCCACGGGGCCTTGGGCAGCCCTCTCCCGCGGTGCCAGTGCTCCCCCAAGGGGACCCAGGTCCCCTGCAGGAGTGTGTGTCCAGCGTGGGGCTCCTGCTTGTTCCCGCCAGCCACCAGGCCCTGGTTTGGCCTGTGTTCAGCAATGGGTCCCTGTCTTTACGGCCTGCATACTTCCATCCACTGGATATTTCCTCCTCCCAGACCCTTTGAAATGGGATCTGGAGGGCTGTAAAAGTTTAATTACAGCAGAGGAGAGCTGTGGGAACGGCGAATTTCCCCAGCAGGCAGGCGCCCTCTCCGCTTTGTCTCTCTCCCTTCCTGTGTCTCTGGGATCTCTTTGTGTCTCTCTGTGGGCCTGAATACCCAGGGAAACAAAGAGGCGATTGCAACATAGGTGGACACTGCCATGGAGCAGTGGGGCGCAGTGCCAGGGCCTTCCTAGGGACTCCYAGCCAGCGCAAGGGCCCTCAGGGGACCCAGCTCTTCTTGGGCAGCTCCTCCATCAACACAAAGGCTTTGGTCCGCGCTGTCCCCGCTGCCGCCTCACTTGGTCTGCCCAGGAGCAAGGCAGAACATGGAGCACGGCCCCAGGGCCTCGCTGGAGCATGGCCACGAGTCAGAGCACTGCTGGTGTCCCAGTGGGGAGAGCTTTGGCCCTGCTGGTAACCAGCACCGCGCTCAACCTTGCTCCACCTTTACTGTCTTTATTGTCCTGCAGCCTCTGGGTATCTGCTTGTGTTGAATAGACTTGGCGGCCTTGGTGAGACCTCCAAGTGCCTGTTTTTGAAGGGAGAGGACAGAAAGCTGGGACTAGAAACAGGTGACCTTACTGAGCCCACCCTGGTATAAGGAGCAGTAGAGAAGGAAAAGGAGTGCAAAGGAAAGGGAGTGCAAAGGAGTCTGCTGTTCCTCAGGGTGTTRCCAGTGAAGTGTATGGAGAACAAGGCACCCCACCAGGATGGCTAATTCCCTTCTGCTTCTTCCTCTAGCATGTGGGCTGTGACCGTGTCCTGGGCTCCGACTCAAAGGAAGACAAGTGTCGCCTGTGCGGGGGAGATGGCAGCACCTGTGAGACCATTGAGGGCATCTTCAACCAGTCCCTGCCAGAGGGAGGTACAGAGCGGCCAGCACAGCAGGTCCCCCCGTGTCCCCCTTGCCTTGTCCTGCTGGGCCCTGGGTCGCCTCAGGGACTCAGCCTGCTCCTGGGGACATGGCACAGGGACAAACAGGGAAATGTCCCAGAGGAACGTCCCACATGGTTGGAAGTAAATCACTCCTGTCCACTGCCCAAACCCCAGACGCTGCTGAGCTCCAATTCCCCAGTGCTGAGCACTGAGCTCTGTTCCACATTCCCAGCTCACGCTGCCCTCCAGTTATACTTTGGCTAACTCCTTGCAGTCCTGTGCCGAGTCCTGGACGCGGGCCACCTCCTCACCTCAACGGGTGGCACAAGTGTGGCATTTTTCCCATTTAGCCATGGTAGGTCACTGAACAACCTAACGGCCTCCCATAGCATTTCAGCACTTGTGTAGGGTAGGGGCAGACCCCAGCTTTGGGCCCGGAGGCTGAGCATCCCTGCTCACCTTCCCTTGGGGTTTCGCAGGGTACGAGGAGGTGATCCAGATTCCCAAGGGCTCTGTCCACATCGACATCCGGGAGCTGAACCTCTCCGTCAACTATTTAGGTGAGGAGCAGCTGAGTGGCACCGAAATCCCTTTGTCCTGCCAAAGCCCTTTTGATTGTGGTAGCCGCGTGTGAGGAAAGCCCAGCATGGAAAACCTCCCTGTGCAGCACAAAATGGGCTTGGGGTGGGAGGCTTGGCTGTGGTGGGAGGCAGGGGGACATTGCAGAGGATTAAAAATAGCTGTGCTCACGTTTGCTTTGGGCTCAATTAGCAAGAGTTTCTAGCTTGTTGCTTTTCCAGTGGTTTTTTTTTTTCCCTCCTCTTGTCTTCTCTTTCTGTCCTGCAAGCGATGCCCAGCGATCATGGATGGGTGGCCAGGGCAGCTCTCTGTGAGCTCCTGCTCACAGGATGCACAGGATGCACAGGATGCCCACTTGGATGCTAGAGCTGGTGGGATGTCACCACCTGGGGTTCGGGGATGCTGCATCCCTCCCTGCCTGGCTTAGGGAAACTGGGGACTCCCTGTGCTCACAGGAGCCGAATTTGTGTGCACTGAAGCCATAGCCCAAGCTCTCATGCACTGCTACAGCAGTCCTCCGAGACGTGTCCCTCCACCCCAGGTGGGAGGCGAGGGAGCCAACACAGAACATCCTCCCGCCCCGGAGCATCGGGGCAGTGAGCTTGTCAGGAGTTGTGAGTGCAGCAAGGGAAGTGCATCCCAGTGGAAGGGGCTGTGGGAGAGAGCTGGGAGAGCGCGGCAAGGCGAGGCGGAGCGGGCCAGGCCATCTCCCTCTAGCGACTCACTCGGGCAACCACAACAGCCAGCCAGGGCTCCTGGGCACCAGCCTCTTCCCCGGGCCTCAGCAGCCAAGACCTGGCGCGTACGGCTGGATTGGCCCCTGGCTTGTACAGCTGGATTGGCCCCTGGCTTGTACAGCTGGATTGGCCCCTGGCTTGTATGGCTGGATTGGCCCCTGGCTTGTACAGCTGGATTGGCCCCTGGCTTGTATGGCTGGATTGGCCCCTGGCTTTGTGGCCGCTGCTGGTCACACTGCCAGATGTGCAAGTTCTCCCCGTACCATCGTCCTTCCACAGCGCAAGCACTGAGAGTGCCAGAGCAAGGAGATAGGCGCGTTAATCCTGTCTCCGCAAGGGATGTTATGTGTGGCCTTAATTGGCACTTAAGCCCTGGCACTTGATTTTATTCGGCCTGGCTATCCCCTCACCATGAAACAAGGCTCATCGCATTTACCCTCGGCTGTGACAAGGCTCTGAGACCGATAGATGTAAAGTGCTGGGCCAAAGCTAGATACAGGCACATTTAGTCTTCCTGCTAACCCCTTTTCCCCTTGTCCCTCCAGCTCTGAGAGGAGAAAACGGCGAATATTACATCAATGGGAAACTCTCCATCGACCCTCCAAGGCGCTTCGACGTTGCAGGCACAACGTTCCACTACAGGAGGTCCCCGGACGAGCCTGAGTCGCTGGAGGCCTTGGGGCCCACCAACATCACCCTCTTTGTCATGGTTGGTAACAGCGCTTTCGCTCGTGTGGTGACTACCTGGGGATTGATGCTATCTGCCTCTGTCGTTGCTGTCTGAGTAAAAGGGACATACCAATCAAAGGTAAATTTGACTGTCTTCTCAGATCTTCCTCCCTGGATCTGCCAGGCTTTTGAATAAGATTGATCTGTAAGCGCACAGGATCTCCATCTGTGATGGTGTCTCTGTTGCCATTATGGCTGTGCCGTGGTTACCACTGGGGGCTGCCGTGTCAAGCTGGAAGGGCTCCGACGCCCCCCGGACACTCCTGTCCGGCCTGGGCTTCAGTGACACTGAGGTGTTGGTGGTGCCTTTCTCCACAGGTCCTTGTGCGGACAGAGCTGCAGGGCATTCGGTACAAGTTCAACGCCCCCATCAGCAGGGATGCCTCAAACCAGTATTCCTGGCACTACACCCCGTGGACCAAATGCTCAGCACTATGTGCAGGGGGTGAGTGGTTTCATCATGTGGTGGCTGGAGAGGACACATGTATCCTCAGTTCTGTGACTCCCACTCACAGTGTCTGGGCCATAAAAGATGGGGCACAGCCATCTGTTTTACTCTAGGGTTTCTATATATTCTATATATTCTATATACTCCCACTCTACGTTCAGCCACTCATGACCTGGTGTCAGTCAGCGGACAGTGTATCTGGATAAACAAATCAGATAATGTTCTTGGGCTGGACTGCAGGTGCAGGYGGTGAAGATGGTGAAGGGTGGCACGATGGGCTTGAAATTCATTGGCTTGGGTAATGAAAGGCAGATTAGCTGGCCACAAACACCTATGTGTTTGTGAACTGATGTTTTCCTGATCCCTTGGGCTAGTTCCTGTGGGAACGGAAGCAAGATTTTTATGTGCCACATCTGATGTCCCTTGAGATCCTGGCTACAAGTGGCTGAACCAGGACTCAGAAGAAAAGAGAGGTAGTTTCCAGAGCAAAGTATAATCCTGTTTCCTACTTAAGTCAAGGGACCAGTTTGGCCTTGTGTCCTGGATTTCAGCAAAGGAAGTGCCAAAGATCTTTTCATCTCTCTTTCCAGATGTGGCCCCGAACTTTGCCTAGGAAGTGAGCAAGGGTTAGAACAGATTTATTCCAGACTGACATCCCAGCAATGCCTTGATCCTACTCCCCTCTACAAAGCCCGCAGGGTCCTGCCTAGACTAACCAGCTTTCAGCCCATCCAGCCAGTTGAGCCTCAGTCTTGCTCTCCGTCTCTCTCTTGGCCTCTTCTCTCGTCAGGCAGCCAAATCCAGTCTGTCGTGTGCAAGAAACTCTCCGACAGCTCAACTGTCTTCAACCATTTCTGTAGCCCCGAAACCAAAATGCCGGAGCGGCAGAGGCCGTGCAACATCGAACCGTGCCCGCCAGCGTGAGTATCACGGCTTGGGGCAGGCAGAGGGAGCCTAGGGGAAAAGCCAGTATACAGAAGAAGGCTGAGAATAATATTTGACACAAATCCTGGGACTGAGTGAAATTTTCCCATCTTTGTCTCCTTCCCAAGTCAGAGTCCTCTGCCACAATCTCCAGGGCAGGGTGACCCTAACTCTCTGGGAGAAACTCTGCAGAGACAGGAAGACCCCAGGAATGTGATGGCCAAAACACATCTCTGTAGCATGAAATCTTCCTTGTCCTTGTGCTCCTTGCGAATAGGAACCCTCCACATCCAGACCTTCTGGCACAGAGCTGATTCTCAGCACTGTCCTCAGGAAACTCTCCCTACTCCTCCCTTGATTGGTCAGTGGTCCAGGCAGAGCTACCTGGGAGGCTGTAGCCAGGTCAGCAATAGGGCTGCATGGCCCCAGACRCAACCGCAGATCACCTTGCACATTGTGAGCTTCCATGTTCTCCGTGTCTCCAGCTGGGTTATTGGGAACTGGTCTGAATGCAGCCGAACCTGCAACGAGGGTGTCCGCACACGGAGCGTCTTTTGCAAACGAAAGATCTCTACCACCGAGGAGAAGACCTTGGATGACGCCTCYTGCCCCCAGCCACGGCCCAAGATGCTCGAGCCTTGCAACAACCAGACGTGCCCCCCAGAATGGGTCGCTCTGGACTGGTCAGAGGTAAGCACTCGTCTCTGTCCTCGGCTCTCTGATGCCATCTTGTGTGACTTCCTCAGGAGCATAGATTGCTGGTGGTGGGTGTTGCCTGTGGAGAGCCTAACTTGGGCCATTATCTGCTGGTAGGTAAGGAGATGGGCTAGACTGGACCGCTGCTGGGGAGAGCGCATGGTACGTGCCKGCTCTTCACTGCCCATCCCGAGCAAACGTCTCCTCTCTTTGCAGTGCACCCCCAGCTGCGGGCCAGGTTTCCGCCACCGCATCGTGCTCTGCAAGAGCGGTGACCACAGCGCGACACTGCCCGCCTCCCAGTGCCCTGAAGGCTCCAAGCCCCCGGCCAGCATGAGGTGCAACCTGCGGCGCTGCCCGCCCCCACGCTGGGTGACYGGCGAGTGGGGAGAGGTACTGCTCTTCTTTCTGTGGGGTTATTGCAGAAATAGCTYCCGCCCCTGAAATCCAACCTCATGCTCCTGAACCTTTCGCCTGCGAGCCCCTGGTCCGTGGCAATGTGGGCATCTCGTGGGTGGGTCACCATGTCGACGTGACAYGGGGCTCTCCCTACATCTGCCTGAYGTGGCAGCTCTGAGCCTGCTGGAGGGGTGTCTGAGCACCAGCATTTGCAGCATGGTACCATAAATACCTGATAATGCCCTGGTGGCAGTAACCTCACTGCTCCTGCCGTGTTCCCAGGCAAAGCTGATCTCTCCAGCCAGCTCCATGCTGCTGGGCACCCTCTGCTCTGCATGTGCAAAGGCAACAAAGGGGTCAAAAATGAACTGTTGCGTGTGGCTGATAAGATCCACAGGGGTAAAAGGGCCAAATGGTATTTGCTTYCATGGTCTTTACCTCCTCTCTGTAAGCCGCCTTGGCATCCTCAGGCCCTTTCTGGAYCAGTCCCTTAGATGTGGCTCTTCAAACCTGTCTGATAACTGGCAAGGAGGGGYGTCCTGCCGGGGGAGCCGTGTCTAGATGGGGCCTGCAGCCGCTCATCACAGGCTGGAGGCCCTGCACCCGCCAGCGAGGGTGGGTGGAGGCCGGCGGGCAGGGGTGCCCCTCAGGAYGGCGGGTGGGAGGAGGACGGTGGGGGCCTGGCTCTAGAGCAGGAGGCGGCTGGCACAGGCCAGGGTGCAGCTCTCGGGACACCTGGTGGTCACCAAGAGCTCGGCCGCCAGGCCCAGCCTTGCTGCGCTGGCACGGCTGGCACCGTCCTGTGCCCACGGGTGCGCGCCGCCCGTGGGGCCGCGGCACGTGGAGCCCGTGTCCCGTCTCCCAAGGGCTGCCCTGCTCCGCGGGGCTCCGGCGCGCTCGGCGGCCGCTGCAGCCCTGTGCTGTGCTCCTCCCCGGCAGTGCTCCGCACACTGCGGCCTCGGCCAGCAAAGACGCTCCGTCCAGTGCCTGGCCCACACCGGGCAGCCGTCCAGCGACTGCGCGGAGACCCTGCAGCCGCCCGGCATGCAGCAGTGCGAGACCAAGTGCGAGTCCGGACCCACGGACAACCCTGACGGTGAGGAGCTGGGCCGGGGCAGAYGCGGACCCCGTGTGTGTGGGGAGCTGAGCCAAGGCACCCAGGGTGCTCCGAGCGGCTCCGCGCCCCAGCAGGGCTCTGAGCCCATTTTCCTGTGTTGCCCACGCAGAGTGCAAGGATGTGAACAAGGTGGCCTACTGCCCGCTCGTCCTGAAGTTCAAGTTCTGCAGCCGGACCTACTTCCGACAGATGTGCTGTAAAACGTGCCAGGGCCACTAGGAACAGAGCAAAATCACCCCCGTGGGAAAACTGGAAGGCCCAAGCTACCCCGGAGGGCAGCCGAGCCATGCTCTTCCTCTCCGCCCCGGGAATCTTCCCTGGATCCAACACAGATGTTTGTCATGTTGCCGGTGGGAGCTGGTGTCACCCCAGCCCATCCGCCGAGGACGCGCACACTTCCTTCCCGAGCACCCCCATGGCAGGATCCCAGTTAAAGCACTGCCGCCGCTCCGGAGAGCGCCGTGGTCAAGCACGCGAGGAGCCGGCAGGAGGGGCAGAAACTGGGCGGCACGCGGCAGCAAGGGTGTTACTTGAAACTCTGACATTGTTATTTATTTAGTAGGGGACCGAGGTCCTGCAGGCACCAGCCAACGGCCACGGAGATGGTACCATCAGCCCCATTCCTGCCTCTCCCTGTTGGGTACCTGTACCCCAAAGGCATCGCGGGGTATCACGGTCCAGCGCAGAGCATCTCCAGGGAGAAGCTGAGGGTGCTGTCCACGGGTGCATTCCCCGGGGGCATCGCCGGAGACACCAGGAGGAGGTTTCAGTGCTGCTGGCCTCTGTGCAAAGGCCAGAGACTCTGTAGGGCGGCAGGAGGGAGCTYGTCTTCTGCATCTGCACCCACCACCTGTCCTGCAGCAGGTGGTGGAGAGCAAGCCGTGCAGGGAGCGGAGCAGCAGCACTGATCTCACCAGGGGCTAATAAACCCCCTGAATGTCCTCAGATTGCCCCATTTTTCCTGCCATCTCCAACCGTGCGCCGAGGTCCGGGCCCGGCACACACTTGGTTGGTGGGAGTCGGAGCCCTTCCGGGCTGCGGGAAGGCTGGATGCCAGAGGGCTCRCCACGGTCCCATTGCCAGCCATGAAATGGGACCCAAGGTGCTCTGCCCCCGGGCACCACCATGGCCGTGGGGTCCCCGTGCGGGTCCCCCAGGAGCCTCCAGTGCTGGGAAGAGCAGCCTTGAAATCCTCCTCCCAGCCCAAGCCGGCGCCAGCCCCTCCGCGTGGCTGCAGGAGCAAAGCGGGCCGGAGGAGATTGGGTTTCCAATGTACAAAGCATCTGCTTGATTATTATTATTATTGTGATTATTTTCAGGCCTTTCTGCATCACAGAGATGGAAAAGCTCATCCGAGCCGCCGTCACGCAGCATCCATAGGGCGCAGGGATGAGCTGGGTGCTCTCCCCTTGGGCACAGCCCGCGCTGAGCGACGCCAGGGGCTCCCAGCCCTGCTCCTCGGGCAGCCGCCGCTTCTCTGGTGCTGAACACATCCCGCCTGGCTGCCGAGCAGGCCCGGATTTGTCTTCCCTCTCGGCACGGTGCTCCCTCTGGCATTTGGGGGTGGGGGAAAGGGAGTGGGTGGGGGGGTGTTTTCACCTTTTTATATAGATATATATAATGAAAAAATGTTTAAAATACTAACTCTGAGGAGGAGCGGCGTAACGGCATGATCTATAATAAAGGAGTAGCTACGATCCTGGGCRCAGCTGCGGCTCCCCGTGTGTTTTTTTGCCGGCAGCCGGTGCTGGGGCAGTGGTTGGGCTGGGGGCTCCCAGCTGCTCCTTGTGCACCCGCGCATGGGGCTGCCGGGGGGTTCCAGAGCTCCCCGTGGGGATCAGAGCTCGTCTCGGATGTCTCCTGCCCGTGGCCAAGGGTGCGAGGCAGGACCTCGAGTGGGTGACGAGCCGGCGCGCGCCTCGCTTGCGGCGGGAAGGCCAGAGCTGGCGGTGCACGGGGCCCTGCTGAATCCACAGGGCTCCCCAATCTCCTCTGCACCCACCAGCCCGTCCGAGCAGCAGAGGAGGAGCTGGGACGACGTCTCCGAGCTCCAGGGATGAAGGGCAGGGCGCGGAGCAGGGCGYGGGCTCCGCCGTGGCCGCAATCCTGGCCCGGGCACCAGCCGCCAGCAGCCGCGCGAGCTGCCCTGGCCGAGACCCCGGCCCGGCCGCGGCCCTCGGCACGGGTCGATGCGGCTCTGCTGGGAATCCGGCACCGCTGTCAGATGCATCCAAAGCCTTTGGCGCCCTCTCTCCCGGGGGGACTTCGGGGCCCATCCGAACCAAGCAGCCATTTCTGCTCAAAGGCCCCACGGGTTCCGTGTCTCCGTTGGGATGTCCAAAACTGCTGCCTTGGTTTTAGAACAAGGAGGATTCGCCAAAACCATTTTGGTGTTTTAGCCCAGTAAGAGATTTTGGAGGCTTTTACTTGCATTGCATCCCTGGCTTCTGCTCACATCCAGCTTCAGCCTCACTTTGCGCCCCGATGGCAAGGTTGAAATGTTAGTTTTTTGCAAGAAAGGGCAACCAGGAGACTCTCCACCCAGGAGCGGAGGCGCTGCCGACATCTCGCGAGCAGCCCCGCGGGCCCCCCGACGGCAGCCCCACGGAGCTCCAGGGGGGCGTAAGGACACGGGAAAAGATACGGGAGAAGATACAGGAAAAGCAGCACCCCAATCAGGGAGAAAAAAAAAAAAAAGAAAAAGCTTTTCTCCTAAAAGCGAAGTGCCCCCCCAGCCCCTCCCAGCAGGCAGCACCCCGGGGTGGGGGAAAGGGTTTTGCAGATGTTGGGGCGTCCCCAGTGCCCCCTGCACCCACAGGGCCGGGAGCCCACGGCACCTGCGGGCGGCCGAGGCACCCGGGACACCCCAAGGCCCCCCAGGGAAAGCGGCCCCTGCCCCCACGGAGCCGCTCGGCTCTATGAGGAAGTGGGAGGAGGAGGAAAGAAAAAACCAGTTGCAATTTGTAGCCGAGGCAGAAACACCAGGCGAGGGGCAGGGGATGGCACCCCGGTGAGTGGAGGCCCCCCCGGACACCCACAGAGCCCCCCGGCCGGGGCAGGACGTAGGGACGACCGCGTTGCGGTGCCACCATGGTGAGTGCTGCGGTCATGGGTGCCCCTGTGCCGGGTGGGGGGACGTCGAGCCCCTGTTCTCTCTGCACCCCAAGGACGCCGTCTTGCAGCCCCGGGTCTTGCAGCCCATCTTGGCCCCCCTGTCGCTGCTCTGGTCCCCACGGTGGCACCTGCAGGTGAAGGAGCAGACAGGGGCCACCAGAGCCGCCCTGTGCCGAGGGCAGCAGCAGGTGCTGGCTGCCTCCGCGCGCAGACCCAGCTGCCGGGACCCTGTTTGCACCCATCGGCTGAGTGGGTCCGGGGCRTCTTTTGGAAGGAGCTTTTGCTTTTTTGATTCCTGGAGGTGTCGGTTCCCATCCTCCTACGGGGCTGGTGGCGGCGCCTGGGACCCTGCAGCGGCAGCAGCCCCGTTTGGAGCTGCAGGTTGCTCCAGAGCTGAGCGGGGAGGCCGGGACGGCCCCAGAGCCGTGCGGGTGTCCCTGGGGTGCCAGGGCGCTCGGACACAAGCAGGAGGGAGCAGAAGGAGCAGGGGGGAAACAGCCCTGTGGCCAAACAGCCCTCGCGCGCCCCAGCCCCGTGGGTGCCACTGGCACCTACGACCCACCGCGGAGGCTGCCACCACCGTGACGGCCGGCGCTGCTCCCGCAGGGTTTCGGGGGGTGGTGGCTGCACCGAGACTGGCCCTTTCTCCAAAAAAAAWCCTGCCGAGAGCTGCCAGCCTCGAGCTCTGCTCCGTGGGGCCACCGGCGCTCCGGGGAGAGCCGAGCGCGGGCTGCGCTGCCGCATGGTCGTGCTCCCCGCTCAGCACAGGGCCAGGGGCTCCCCGGGAGCGCCCCGCTCTGCGCCAGGGCGTTCACGGCTAATTGCAGGTCTTCAGGAAAAAGAAAGACGTCTGTCAGCTCAGAAGCACCAAGGTTGCGACACCGGAAACGCTGCTGGTTTTGCCTTAATTTGGTGCCGCAGCACAGGGCACCCAGCAGGGAGCCCTCAGCAGCTCCCGCTCCATTGGTTTGGGGGCTCTGAGTTGCATTTGGGGTGTTATTTATTTATTAGCTTCTTTTGCTGAGGCAGGCACCATATGAGGCAGGCTGCGGCTATGAGGCCCGTGTTAAATCCTGGCACCCTGTGTCAAACCAGGGGACACAAGGCTGGGCAGTGAGGACTGCCAGGCAGAAATCAGGGGTAAAAGCAGCTCCCGGGCACACAGACCCTTCCTGACCTGGCCAAGCAGTAACGCAGCAGGGCCTGAAAGCCCAAAGCCTGGCAGATAAAAAAGGGGAAGCGCCAAAAAGGGGAAATGGAAGGAGGTAAAGGCTGGGGCAATGGGTGGGAGGAAGAGAAGTGAAATCAGGGCTTGGAGAGCTCTGACTGAAAAGAGGAAACCCAGGGGCGTGCTGAGCTGGCTCCGGCTGCTGTCATGCCCTGGGGTGCCCATTGGCCCTTGGGYGCCTGTTGCACAAAGGCTGCCCACAACTTTGCACCTTGCAGCACAAGTTTCCTTTGTTGCAGTGAGGACGGGAGGGCTTTTCCGTGTGTGTTTGCTTTCGCTGTTATTTGCAAGATGCAATCTCCCCCGCGGTGCCCAGCAAGGGTCTGCTCTAGCCCTGCAGTGGCTTCAGCTGCAGCTCACGGCATTCGCCTTCCACCCTGCTTGCTGCGAGGGGATGGAGCCAGGCGTTGTAGCTCTGCGGCCAGGGCAAAAGCGGAGAGATGCAGCCACGCAGGCGGGCAGGAAGCGCTGCCCAAGGGGCGCTGTCACCTGCACCCTGGGCTGCCACCCTTGCCTGGCAGCTGCATTGGCTGCCAGCAGGGAGCAGCGAGCTGAGGCCACACTGCATCAGGCCAACACCTCTGCACTGCCTTCTGATTTCTGCCTTTCCTCCAGTTATTTTTGCAAGCAGAACACGGGCAGAAAACGCTTTTTCCCTCCTCAGGGTTGCAACGACATTATTTTTCCTCCCAGCTCCTCAGTGAGCAGGGTGAGCCTGCGAACGGGCTCTTGGTGCCCGGTTTGCTCCTGTGCATGATGCTTGGCCGGCAAACCCGGTGCCAGGAGGCAGGAATCAGCCTGAGCGGGGTGAGCACTCGTCCACCCACAGGACTCAGGGGCTTTTGCTTCTTGCCCGCTCCGAGCGGATTCTGCAGAGCTTTGCAGAGCTGGTGGCAGCCGGCTCAGCAGCTGCCGCCCGCYGTCCCCCGCAGGGCAGCAAGGAGCGCTTCCACTGGCAGAGCCACAACGTCAAGCAGAGCGGCGTGGACGACATGGTGCTGCTCTCCAAGATCACTGAGGAGGCCATCGTGGAGAACCTCAAGAAGCGCTTTATGGACGACTACATCTTCGTATCCTTCCCTGGACTAGGTGCACGCACGAGAGCTTTGCAGGCCAGCAGGTCAACCCAGGGCTGTCCCGGTGCTTCCAGGRTTCCTTGATCCCGGCATGGGGTTGGGATTAGCCCAGGTGGATAGCGGTAGCTGTTGCAGAGGAGGTAGATGAGGAGACCTCAGCCGGCCCCATGAGCACCACAGCGGGTGCAGTGAGACGGCAGGACAGTGGGTGACCTCAGGGCCGCCTCTCTGTCGGGTACCAAACCACCCCATTGCTGAGCTGCTCTGCAGAGTCACTGCAACTGTCCCAGGACTTGCCCTGCGCCACCCTTGGATTTCTCCTTTACGGTGTCCAGGCATCGAGGATTGCAAAGAAAGCCATACCCAAGATCCTCATGCAACGTATTCCACAAATCTGCAAGATCCTCTGGAAGAGTCAAACCAGGGGTCACATTGGCCTCCTGCGTCCCCTGGGCTGATGGCTGATGGCTCTCCAAGCTGCCATCTCCCCCAGCGCTCAGGTGCCCCCCATGGTTTCACACTSCATCCACAGTTGGGATGAAGTACCCCGATGCCCCTGGGATTTCACCTCCAGCAGTGGCATACCAAGCAGAAAAACTCTGCAACTGTCCTCGTGGCAGATCAGCAGTGACCCTGCAGAACTGCAATAGAGACCCGGACCCTTGTGCTTAGCCTTTGCTTTCTGCTGCTCTCAGGCAGGTTCAGACACCACCACCAGACCACAGGGTGGTCTCATCCCCTCCATCCYGCCCGACTTTGCCCCGTGCCGCCATGCAGAGCAGCTTTTGCACGGGTGCTGCCAGCACCACGTTTCACCAGCCCTGGCCAAGCACGGCAGGCTGGACGGGGCCAGCACCCTCCGCGCCGGGCGCCGGGCTTCGAGACGCGCCTGCTTTGCAGCACTGGCTTGTTCTCACGCCTCACTCGTCCCCAGCAAGGCCCACRGCGGCTCCACATCCCCGCAGCATCCGTCCCCTTGCCCGAGGCAAGGATGCTGGTGGCTCTGCMTTCCCGCACCGTTCGTCCCCTTGTCCCCAGGAAGGAGCCAGCGGGATGCTGCAGCCCTGCAGCATCCATGCGCTCCCCATGCTCACAGCTGCTAGGCTGTGCTAGGACAGGCACAAACCGTCACCAAAGGGCAGCGCAGGGCGATGGGGGCTTGGGGCAGCTGCTTGACCAGGGGACAGGCTCTCGGCGCTGCGAGCGGCTGCGGTTTCCCTGAAGATGCAGCTCTGGCCTTACAAGGCGCCGCGYCGGACGGGGCCGGCGGTGACGCGGCGCCTCGTGGCTCCTGCGGCAGCTCTGAGGCTTCACAAGCACTTGGGTTATTTTTTTCTTCTCTCCAAGAAAGGGGAAAAGAAGAGAAAAGACACATCCTCYACCTTCCTTTTTCTTTCTCACCGCGCTGTGCAGAGCGTGCTGCCTGGCCRTGACTCAACACCCAGCGCGTCTGCATTTCCTGCAGCAGCTTCGCTCTTCCTGCCCTTCGGCTCCTCTTCCTCTGCCCTTCGCACCCTCGACRGGGGCTGCAAGCAGGCTGCCCGCCCGTCCCTGCCCTCAACAAGGGCTCCTCCCTCTCCATCCCTCTCCGCAGCATCCGCAGGGACACAGGTTCCTGCTTGGGGTGCTGGGGATGCATCTCRGTCCGTGCGCGGGTGGCGAGCAGAGGGGACAGCAGGGACCGCTGGACAGACCTTAACCTGCCACTCAGACCTACATCGGGCCGGTGCTCATCTCRGTTAACCCCTTCAAGCAGATGCCCTACTTCACCGACCGGGAGATTGAGCTCTACCAAGGGGCGGTGAGGACACAGCACGCAGGTCTGGGGGGGATTGGGGATGTGGGGTCGCACGGAGGCAAGCTGGACGCATTTGCTGCACAAATCAGCATTCTCAGACCAAGCCAACGTTCCAATTTCGGACCAGGATGAAATTCAGGAGTAAATCTGCAGGCGAGGAAAATGCAGCTAATATGACCAAAAGCTACTCCAAAAAAAGTCGTGCAATATAAGCGCAAATTCTGCTAACTCTGCTGTAGGGAGACCCCGCCAAAGAGCTGAGAAAACATGCAAAAATGCCTTCGATGAGCTCCCGTTTTTGTGCCGAGGGGACTTGCCCCATCCCTGCTCCAGGTCCGCTCCTGCGGGCACAGTTAAGGCCCGCGGAGCGGGGAGGCCGCCCGGCGCTCAGCTCCTCTCTGCGTGTGCCCTCCCCAGGCGCAGTACGAGAACCCTCCCCACATCTACGCGCTGACCGACAACATGTACCGCAACATGCTCATCGACGGCGAGAACCAGTGCGTCATCATCAGGTACGAGAGAGGCCGAGGCTGAGGCCGAGGCCGCGCAGGGCGGTTCCCGCCCTCGGGAGAACCTAAGGCCCGCGCAGGGCTGTGGGTGATGCAGCRCAGGGGGTGCCTGGAAGGGCCCTGGCGTCCGGGGCAGCGGGTTGTCTTTCCCTGTGGGAATGAGCGTTGCACATTGTGCTCTTCCAGTCGCGTGTTGTAAAGGAACAGGTTAAGGCGTGTGGGGCAAGTCCCCAGATGTCCCCTGCAGGCCCCGAAGTCACCTATTTCCCCCCTGGATCCAGCACCAAGAAGGCCAGAATCTCCTCCCGGAGATGCCAGATTTGCTGTGGGTGGCGGGATCCGGCCCCGTTTGTGTCCTAGGATGTTTCCAAAGCAGCAGCAGCCCCATGCCCTGTCCCGTGCTCCTGCTCCCAGGCAGGAGCCATCCGGGTCGYGGCACCGCTCCAGCCATATGAGTTGCCCCACCACGGCATGGGCCGTGTTCGGGGTTGTACCCTCGGCAGTGCCTGAGCCCAGGGCTGTGTGTCCCCCCATCCCAAGGGTCCGTGTTGGGGACACGGGGACCTGTCTCTAGCGCGTGGGCCAGGCACTGCTGAACCCTTCCCTCCCGCTCCGCTTGAGTGTTTCCACAGTGGAGAAAGTGGGGCTGGGAAAACAGTGGCGGCAAAATACATCATGGGCTACATCTCCAAAGTGTCCGGAGGTGGAGAGAAAGTACAGGTACCGCTCCCATGAATCTGCTTCACCGCGTCCCTCTATCCCCACGGTATCCCTCTGCCCTCTCCATGGGCGGCATCTTCCTGGGGCAGGGCAACCTCAGAGATGCCACCGGTTCCCATTTCCCTGCTCACCCTTGTCCTCTCCTCTCATCCCCAGCACGTCAAGGACATCATCCTGCAGTCCAATCCTTTGCTGGAAGCATTCGGGAATGCCAAAACTGTCAGGAACAACAACTCCAGCCGCTTCGTGAGTCCGCAGGGCGGGACGGGGACACGAAGGCAGAGGGTTTCCACCAGAGCCTGGCAGGAGGTGACAGCGCCGTGCCTGCAGGCTCTGAGCATTGACATGTCCCCTTGATAGGGCAAGTACTTCGAAATCCAGTTCAGCCGGGGCGGCGAGCCGGATGGAGGGAAGATMTCCAACTTCCTGCTGGAGAAGTCCCGTGTGGTGAGCCAGAAYGAGAACGAGAGGAACTTCCACATCTACTACCAGGTATGGGCACACCAGCTACACGGGCACCCGTGAGCACCACTCAGCCCCAACTGCTCTCCCTGTACCCAACAGCTCATTGAAGGGGCATCCCAGGAGCAGCGGCAGAACCTGGGCATCATGACACCCGACTATTACTACTACTTGAACCAGTCAGACACCTACCAAGTCGATGGCACTGATGACTGCAGTGACTTCCACGAGACTATCGTGAGCACCCTTGGGTGCTCCCCAACCTGGGCACTGGCTGCGGTTGCACATGGGCTGACTTGTGTCTCCCCACAGAACGCCATGCAGGTCATCGGCATCTGCAGAGAGGACCAGCAACTCGTGCTGCAGATCGTGGCGGGGATCCTCCACCTGGGGAACATTGGCTTCTGTGAAGAGGGCAACTACGCCCAAGTGGAAAATGCCGACGGTGAGTACTCCAGCACACCTTGTGCAGCAGCACGAGCAGAGATGCTTGAGCTTAAACACAAATTTCTTGTAGGACATATCCCTCAGCAGAGAAAGAGGTGGCATCAGCATCTTCCCCACTTTAGAGATGGGGAGATTGAAACAGTAAGCAAGAAAATGACACAGCCATAGGCAGAAAATCACTGGTAGGGGATAGATCCCTTGAGTCTTGTTTGGCAGACCCTTGCAGTGATGCAGTAGAGGGCACTACCCCATGTCTAGATGCTAGTCCGCAGTTGTCCCTTCCTCTTTTGGGCTTGGCCAGGGTGCAGGAGGGTCGGGCAGCATCCTTAAGATAGGTGTCCACCCTGACCACCTTCCCTGTGCCCAGCACTGGCCTTCCCTGCCTACCTGCTGGGGATCAACCAGGAGCGGCTCAACGACAAGATCACCAGCAGGAAGATGGACAGCAAGTGGGGCGGCCGCTCGGAGTCCATCAACGTGACCCTCAATGTGGAGCAGGCAGCCTACACGCGGGATGCCCTGGCCAAAGGCCTCTACACGCGGGTCTTTGACTTCCTTGTGGAGGTGCGTGGCCCCACAGGCGTGTGGTGGATGGGGCTGCTTCAGCCAGGTAGCACGTGCCCCTTCTTTGCAGGARGTAACTCCAAGCCCTGTCCTCTGCCAAGGCCCAGAGAGCTTTTTCTTGGTGCTTGGGTCATGAGCACACCAGATGAGATAGGAAGAGCTGGCTACACCTTGGAGATGACCTCAGAAATGGGGCATGAGGTGGTGACATGGGTGCAGTGTTCCTGCAGAGAAGGGGTACAATTGGGGGCCACCTGCTCCAGTGTACGATCCACCAAGCTGGCAGGAGCTCTTGATGAAGGGAGTTGGGGCCCTCTCTCCCTGCAGTCCATTAACCGGGCCATGCGGAAGCCACACGAGGAGTACAGCATTGGGGTGCTCGACATCTACGGCTTTGAAATATTCCAGGTACTGGTTGCTTTGGTGTAGAACCCAGCTGAGGACCATCCGTCCCCCTTCTCTTCTGACTACATGAAAGGGACCAACTAAATCTCATCTTATTTTTCCTCTTGCATTCCCCTCTGCAACTGTGCAGAAAAACGGCTTTGAGCAATTCTGCATTAACTTTGTGAACGAGAAGCTGCAGCAGATCTTCATCGAGCTGACCCTCAAGGCAGAGCAGGTATGGGGGATTGGGCATGGTGGGGAGAAATAAAGTTGCCCAAAGCCCTGAGTCCTGCACCCGACACCTCTCCAGTCCTGGGCAGATGGCAGCAATACAGCAAGATCAGACAGGCATTGGCAAATCCCAGAAATCTAGTCTCTGGTCTAGACAGAGAAGGCAGAGCTCAGCACCTTTTTTTGTAGGTATTGGCTCAAAAAGCCCAAGCACAAGGGACTTTGCGGATTGTAGGGGATCACTACTCATGAAAGGAGGACGGGAGAAGAAAGGCTGCCCRTGTCCATCTGTCTGCACGCAGCCGCCCTCACCTCTCTCTCTCCACTCTTCCCTAGGAAGAGTATGTGCAGGAGGGCATCAAGTGGACCCAGATCCAGTACTTCAATAACAAGGTGGTGTGTGACCTGATCGAGAACAAGCTGGTGAGTGGGGTCCTCTGCTCCAGGGGAGGCTTAAGACACCCCAGGGGGACAGACGGACACAGTGCAGTACAGACCAGATGGCCAAAGCCAGTCCTGCTGGGAAGCACCCTTGCACAAGCAGAAGGACCAGAGAGGTGCTCTACATCCCTCACCTGTGCAGCAGGTCAAAGGAAGGYGGCCTAGAGAAGCCCAGGGCACTTATAGCCAAATACAAAGTTGGGCCCTGCCCAGTGTCCCAGGCCTTCGCTCGGGACACGCGGGTCATCCCGGGCATGGCTGCCTCCCCCAGAACCCCCCCGGCATCATGAGTGTCCTGGACGACGTCTGCGCCACCATGCACGCGACTGGAGAAGGAGCCGACCAGACCTTGCTGCAGAAACTGCAGGCGGCTGTGGGGACACACGAGCACTTCAACAGCTGGAGCTCGGGCTTTGTCATCCACCACTACGCAGGCAAGGTACACGGCACGCACCTCATGCACGTGCAGCACCGCAGCGGCCGCGTGGCCCCTCCGGGTGCCCGAGCTCTCCTCTCTCCTGGGCTCTCCAGGTCTCCTATGATGTTACGGGCTTCTGCGAGCGCAACCGTGACGTGCTCTTCACTGACCTGATTGAGCTCATGCAGAGCAGCGAACAGTGAGTGTGGGGAGCTCCTCRGTCCCCAGGGGCATCTCTTGAGGTCTCAGTCTGGCTACAGCATCCTTGAAGTTAGAGGGAAAAACCTGTCTTGGACCATCTCATGCTCTGGCCAGTGCCCAGCATCCTGCATCAGCTCATGGGGACAGATGGCATCTCCCATTGGGTGCGGCAACAGCAGAATTCAGGGATGCTGGTCTGAATAAAAAGGGAAATTTGGAGGAGTCTATCTCAACCTTGATGCAGACTGAGGCCTCACAACTGCATTTCATGGTATCAGAACCTGGAGCTGGTGCAGGTTCCTGGGGTGGCCCAGCCCTTGCCGCACTTCCTAGAGCCCATCAGCTCTTACCCCCTCACTGTTATTTGTCTTTCAGTGGTTTCATCCGGATGCTTTTCCCAGAAAAGCTGGATTCTGACAAAAAGGGCCGACCAACYACAGCAGGCTCCAAAATCAAGGTATGTCCTGTAGGCTGCAGGACAGTAGTTGCCTTTCCCTGGGAAGAAAAACAGTTTTGGGCTCCCAGCAAAGTTTCCAATTGCTGCCAAGCAATCTTTGCAACAGAAACAGGCTAACGACCTGGTGAACACGCTGATGAAGTGCACGCCACACTACATCCGCTGCATCAAACCCAACGAGACCAAGAAACCCAGGGACTGGGAGGAAAGCAGGTAAAGGAGACCTCTGCATCATGGCTCCCATGAAACTAGAGGCCAACGCAAGGTGGGGTCCAGCTCTCCTGCAAGGATCGAGCTGCCGAGCAGATCCCTGCGTCAGTTCCTCTCCACCGGAGCTGCAATGCAGGGTCTCGTCCTACCTTGAGAAYCTCCCTTGCTGCTCTTGGCTCCACAGGGTGAAGCACCAAGTCGAGTACCTGGGATTGAAGGAGAACATCCGGGTGCGCCGGGCAGGCTTCGCCTACCGCCGCATCTTCCACAAGTTCTTGCAACGGTGAGCGACCACTGGGGCCAGCCGCTGGGACACAGGAGCACAGGCCGTGTGCTCATGGCCCTTCTGCTGGCAGGTACGCCATCCTCACCCCGGAGACATGGCCCTCCTGGCGAGGGGACGAGTGCCAGGGTGTGCAGCACTTGCTGCGGTCTGTTAACATGGACCCGGACCAGTATCAGATGGGCCGGAGCAAGATTTTCGTCAAGAACCCCGAATCGGTAGGTGACCCAGCTCTACCTGTCACCGCGCAGCTCTGCATGGGTGTCAGGGGACAGTAGGGCACCTAACGAGCAGCAGCCATCCAGCCTCCAGCAGGGACATCCCTGTGTCCAGTGGGGCATCAATACAGACCATGCTGGGATGAGTTAGGGAAGGGGATGCAAATACCTGGGAGAAGGGAGGGAGATCCTGGGCGGACACCCGCATCCCTGCTGCGCTCAGCACCCCGTGTCCCCTCGTGCAGCTCTTCCTCCTCGAAGAGATGCGGGAGCGCAAGTTCGACGGCTTTGCCCGGGTGATCCAGAAGGCCTGGCGGCGACACGTTGCCGTCAGGAAGTACGAGCAGATGCGAGAAGAGGGTAAGAGCTGAGAGCCCCAGCGCGAGGCCTGGAGTCTCCTCTGGGATTTTAAAGGAGGGAGTGGGCTTCTTGCTTCTTCCAGCCCTGATAGGGACCACAGGACAGAAATTAGAGCCCCGCTCTGTCTTCCTCTCTCCGTTTCATAGCCACCAAAAGGTATGAAGATGAGTAGGAGCCAGTTTTGAGATGGATTCTGCTCTGCTGAAGGGCAGCAGATGCTCAGTGTTTGCAGGGAGATAGGAAAGAGYAGGTTCATCAGCCAGCTCCCATGGCAGGCACTTCCCAACGTCTCCAAAGGTACAGCGAAAAATCCAGAGGAAATTCCCCCCAGCCTGKGCTGCTCTCTCCCTCTCACAGTTTTGGGAGCAATTTTTTGCAAGGTTTTGAGAGCAATGAACATTATTTAAAAATAGCAAGGTTCAAACAGCTGAGATGTCTTCTATGGCATGAAATGACCCCCACGTCCTGCTGCCATGGCCTGTGGGTTGTCTCAGGAGGCTCTAGCAGACAGATCTATAAGGCCAGGAGACATTTGGCACCACAGGCTCCMAGTGCTGAGCTACAGTGGTCCAAACCATGGGCTCAGCTGCCCAGCCAGCAAGACTCAAGTTTGACCAGCTTCACTTTGGGGTCCTACACAGCTTCGAACATCCTCTATAACTTCAAAGAGAGGAGGAGAAACAGCATCAACAGGAACTTTGTGGGTGATTACCTGGGCATGGAGGAACGGCCGGAGTTGCGCCAGTTCATGGCCAAGAGGGAGCGGATAGACTTCGCTGACTCYGTCACCAAGTACGACCGGAGATTTAAGGTAAACTGAAGCAGAGGGGAAAGTCCAAGCCACGCCACATTCTCATGAATCATCATGGATTTGCTCGGKTGGATCCATTTGGGTCCCATGTCCTCCAGCAAATATGCACTTCATATCCCGTGTCCCTCACCCCCTSCTCCTACCCATTCCTAGCCCATCAAGAGAGACTTCATCCTCACYCCCAAGTACTTGTACCTGATTGGTCGGGAGAAGGTGAAGAAAGGTCCTGAGAAGGGGCAGATCAAGGAAGTGCTCAAGAAGAAGGTGGAGATCCAGGCTGTGAGTGGCGTCTCGCTGAGGTGCGTCCCCTAGCATGGAGCTGATACCACATGTGGCTCCACAAGGCTCTCTGCAGGGGGGCCAYAGGTCTTGAGCAGCCCCAGTGAGGYCAAACAGGCTGATCGCTYGGGCTTTCTCCAAATTCTGATCTCCAACCCACTATTGGAGACGAAGGTATCAGAGAATGACACCAAGGTGTGGGGGAAGAGATGTGGGACTCATGAGACTGGGCTCCTTCAGGCTTGGCTGCATCCTTGCTCTGAAGGCCTGGGAGGTTTCCCATTAGGTCATCCTCCAAATTTGTTGGCTTGGCTTGACCCACTCCAAACTCCGAGGGGTCTCCTGGTTTCCAGATAGCACTGGTCAGGATGAGTATTGCCTGTGCCCAGTATCTAACATTTCCCCTCCTGGGGATTTCTCCGAGCAGCACAAGGCAGGATGACTTCTTCATCCTCCATGAGAATGAAGCCGACAATTTCTTGGAGTCTATCTTTAAGACGGAGCTCATCAGCTTGCTGTGCAAACGCTATGAGGAGCTCACCAGCAGCAAGTTGCACCTCGCCTTCAAAGACACGTAAGGAGTGGGGCAGCRCTACTGTCTGGGCTTGACTTTTTTCTTGCACAGCCCAAACTTTCAAGGCCACCCACATGTGCCCATGGARGGCTGGTCCTGTAACCCCACAGCAGTGGGGAGGGGATCCCAAATGTTCACCTCATGGCAATGCCTCTATTTTCCAGACTACAGTTCCGGGTGAAGAAGGAGGGCTGGGGCGGTGGCGGCACCCGCAACGTCACCTTCATGAGAGGCCAGGGTGACATGGCCACCCTCAAAGCAGGAGGCAAAACCCTTACGGTCAGCATTGGGGACGGGCTCCCCAAGAACTCCAGTGAGTGCCGGTGCCGGGGTGTCCCACTGGGGAGAGGTAGCGGGAGGGCCAGGAACACCCAGGTGGAAGGGGCTGGCAGGCTGACCAACCATGGTCCAGGCATGGCCTCGTCCTCAGGCACATGCACTTTCATTTCAGCATGACTTTTGTCTCCCCAGAACCCACCAGGAAGGGCATGACGCAGAGTAGAGGTTGCCACAGGCCACCAGCGCCCTCCCGAAGTGCCCCACCAGCGCCAAGGGGTAAGGCCAGTGCCGAAAGGCCAGCACCGGAGAGCCAGTCCCCACAGGCAGACCCTAACCTGGCCCCTGCCATCATGACGTATCATCTCTGGGGGGGTTCTCCAGGTACCTGCAGGAATGGGGCACCTCAGTTCCCCCGCAGCCACAGCCGGGCGCAGCAGAACACCACCACGCCACACCAGAAGCAGGCACGGGGACCACCAGTTGCAGCACTGCCCTTGCAAAGCAGTCGTAAGGCGAAGACGCGGCCCCCTTCTGAGCAGAACATGGAGTTCCTCAACGTGCCCGACCAGGGGGTGGCTGGGTAGGTTCTGGTGACACCCCTCAGTGAGCCCAGACCAGGCCCAGCCTCTCCCTCTCCCTGCTGCCCCCACACRCTGTCTTTTCCCTCCCTGGTCAATGCACCCTCTTGGCTCCCTCCGACTGGATCTGCTCCAGATCGCCTGGCCATGCTGGGAGTTCTCCTTAGGTCTTCTCCATATCAGTTCTCCCAGGGCCTAGAYCAGGAGGACTTTTGCTTTGCAGTGCTGAGCTGGAGACACGGAGCAGCACTTTGGTGCAGGCAGATCAAGGCTGGAAGGGCAGTGTAGCCCCAGCATTACACACTGTCCTGGCTGCAACGTGATGTCCAGCTACGATGTCCTCACCTCTTTTAACGCCATTTGTCCTTAACCCTGCAGCATGCAACGGCGACGAAGCGTGAGCCAGCGGCCCCCTCCAGCCGGGCGCCCCAAGCCCCAGCCCAAGGTCGCCATCCCTCGCTGCCAGGCGCTGTACCAGTACGTGGGGCAGGACGTGGATGAGCTCAGCTTCAACGTGGGGGACATCATTGACATCCTCTTGGAAGGTAGCCAGCGGGCGCTGCTGCCCCAGCGGCTCTGGACAAGCCCCTTTCACTCAGCCTTGGAGCCTGTCGGTGTTGCATAGATGGTTTTGACCTCAATCTGTTGCTTTTCTCCCTTCTTCAGATATCTCCGGTTGGTGGAAAGGGCGACTGCATGGCAAGGAAGGCCTTTTCCCTGGGAACTATGTGCAGAAGATCTGAGCTCCATCCAGTGCTTGCACAGCCAGGTGCAATGGGAGGCCATCAGGAGCATCCTCCCACCCCATCTCCAATGAAGACGGGCAACCTGAGCAAGACCCATGTCCCTGCCCGRGGCAGGCTGATGGTGGGAAACAGCCGCCTGTGACCTGGAAGCCACTGCAGACCCCAGAGACAGGCTTTGYCCAGATCATTTCTGAGTCCAGCACGAGGAGCGGGCTGACCAGCTTCTTTCTGCTGATGCTGGTGTTGAATAACCATTTCCCCTTTGAGCTGGCCACCCTCTGGGCCCCCTGTCCCCTTTGCTGCTTCCTCAGCCCATTACCCACCTCTGTGCCGCCCATACCCGCCAGCCAGCTCTGTGCTGCTGGAAAGCACCGATTTCTGCGGCTACTTGAATTCACAGCCCTAGACCTCCCTGCGCAGACAGCACGTCCCACTGCTAACGGTGGTTCTGGGCCATAAATGGGATTACTGTTGATAAGTGTGGTTATAAAGTTACCCTGTATGCTCACGGTGACTTTGCTCTTAGAGTTCCCATATTGTAAGCACAGCATGTCTGACACCAAAGTAGAGCCAAGAACAGGTATTTGGCCCCAGCCCTGGTCCCCGCATGGTGACAAGGGCCACTGCAGGAGGAGGATGGCAGCAGCCACAGGGGACGCGGCTTTTGTTCATCCTGCTGCTGGGGGGACCAACAGGGAGCCCCAATTCCCTGTCCCCCAACCCACCGGCACTGCATCCCCGGGGGCAATGGAGATGGAGGGGCCTGAGCCCCGCAGCGGGCGGCTGGCATCGCGAGGGCGCCGCCGCGGCAGGGTTTGCCCCTGCCCTGCAGCTCTGGCGGGCTGGGCGCCGCGCAGGGGACACCTCCGCTGCGCGCCCGCCTGTCCCCTCGTCCCCACCTCTGCCCCCAACAAAACCCTCTGCTGTTCGTCCCTTCGACCGGGCTCCTGCAGCCCCGCGCGGCGCTGGCACGGAAGTGACGCTGCTCACAGGGCGCCCTTCCTCCTGCCAGGCCTCTTCCTCTTCCTCCCTGGCTCCCCGGGGCCCATCCGCTGCCCCGGCAAACAAAACCCTTCCTCAGGCCCCACGGGGGGGAGGCGTGGGGGTGGGATGGGGGTTGTTGTTCAGGGGAATCTCTTTCCTCAGCCAAAGGCTGCCGGGAAATGAAGTCCGACCCGTCCTGCGCAGGGGCACCCAGGAAAGGCCCAGCTTTGCCAGTCCTGCCCGGGGGCAGAGCCTCAGCTCTTGTTTAACGAGAAAAAMCAGCTTGGGATGTTCAGGAGATCTAGTAAGGACCCCCTGTCTCTCACCTCCAGCCCCTGTGTGAGGCCGCAAGGAGCCCAGTGTGGGCCACCAGCAGCTGGTGCTGGGCGAGTGGCTCCCTGCCACCAGGCCCAGGGCCCCTGACAGCGCAGCGGGCACGAGAGCCCCAGGGAGCGAGGCCCGAGTGTCCCCAGRGTCCTGGGTGCACCAAGGGCCTCGGGACAGCCTGAGAGCCCGGGGGTGCTCCTGCAGGCTCGGGATGCTCCACCCTGGGGTGCACCCACAGGCTCGGGGTGCTCCAAGAGCCCTGGAATACTTCAGGGGATTCAGGATGCTCCTAGAGGCTCTCAGTGCTCCGAGGAGCTTGGGATGCTTTTAGGGAATGAGGGTGCTCCAAGGGCACCGGGGTGATCTGAGGAGCTCAGGGTGCTCCGAGATCCCTGGGATGCTCCAAGGGGTTAACGGTGCTCCCCGGGGGGTGGGATAACCTTGAGGGGCCTCTGGTGCTCCAAGGAGCTCAGGATGCTCCGGGGGGGGGGTGGGTTCAAGGGTGCTCTCAAGGGGCTCGGGGTGCTCCCMAGGGGCTTGGGGTGCTCCCCGGGGCCCAGGCTGTTTTGGGGGAGGCCGGGGGGCTCGGGGGCCCCGCGGTGCCGAAGCAGAAGCGGCTGCAGCGCCCACGCACGGGGGAGAACGCGCGGGGGGAGCGGGCCGGGGGGCGGGGGCCGGGCCTGAGCAACCCCCTCTCCCCGCCCCCCCCCCGCTTCCTCCCCTCCCTCCTCCTCCTCCTCCTCCTGCTGCTCCTGGCCGCTCTCGCGACAGCTGCGCGCAGAAAATGGCCCCCCGGCCCCGCGGCCGCTGATGCCGCTGCGGGCGGCGCCGGTAGGTGGGATCCGGGGGGGCCGGGGTCGCTGCCAGCTTGGGGGACCCCCCCGGGGGCTGCTGCCCGGGGGGGGGGTGCTGGTAGCCACGGKGGGGCTTGTGGAGGGGTTCCCTTGGAGGGCTCCTAGGCACCTTTGGGGCTCCCAGCGACGGGGGCGTTCATCGCCCTGGGGGGCTAGGAGCCATGGCTGCTGTTGGCCTTGGGGGGCTCCCGGCCGCAGGGCTGTGCCCCGCGGGGAGGCTCCCCTGAGGGCTGCCCGGCGTGGGTGCTGTGTTTTCCATCAGCCATGGGACCTACAGCCACGGCTGTCAGTCCTGGGGGCTCCCAGCCCTAGGAGCTGCTGCCTTGGGGGGTATCCGGGGTCCATGGGGTGCTGCGAGCCACGGGGCTGCTAGCCACCAGGACTGCCCACCCGCGGGGGTCGGTAGCCCAGGGGGACTCCGAGCCCCCGCTGTCCCACAGCCACAACCTGCCACCCACCCAGCGCCTTTCCCAGGGGAGCACCCACCGCCCCCCTGCCCTCCCGTGCCCGCAGGAGCCTCCTTGCTGCCGTGGGGAGGCCGGAGCCGCCTCGCCGCCATGGCCAGACCCCCGCTGGGACAGGCATGGGGACAGCATGGGGACAGCGTCGTTGTGGGCTCAGGGTGGGCAGCAACACCTGGTCCTCCCTCCCCAGGGCCTGCACTGCAAACATATATATATACACATATATATGTGTGTATGTTTATATGTGCATATGTTTATATGCATATGTTTATATGCATATGTTTATATGCATATGTTTATATGCATATGTTTATATGCATATGTTTATATATGAATGCTTTATATTTTTTATCTCTATGTAATTTTTTCTTTCTTCTTTCCCCTCCGTGGGCACCGAGCGCCGCGGCGCCCGTGGCGGTGATGCCGGCGCCGCTCGCGCTCTGCAGGGATCACATGAGCCCGCACGCAGCCTTTGTCTGGGGCCCCTCTGCAGCCCCTCACCTGGCACTGCAGGGATTCCCGGACAGGGTTATTTGTTCCCTTTATCCCCCCTCCATCCCCCAGCGGGGTTGCAGGCATCAGGGTGGGTTTGCAAACGCCGCCGGCGCTGGCTGATCCCTAGAAATCCCCCCGCTTTGGCTGGGGGAGAGGAGCCGTGGTAGCAAYGAAGTGAATTGGCGCCGGAGGCTGCTCTGCTCACCGGGGAAATGCAAACTCTTTTGGTTCCCCTGCTTTCCCGTTGGCCTCCCGTGCACGATATTTTTCAGGTGCATGTTCATTGCAAGCGCTGGGGCTGGTTTGTTTGGTCCCAGCAGGGTTTCACTGGTGCCGTTTGCAGGAAAGCCCATTGCGAGCCGACTCGGCCGTCACTCCGCGTGGGCAGGCGGCCGGCGCGCGGTTTCATAGCCGAGTCGGAGGGCAGAGGAATCGGCACCGCGGCCCGGGCTGAAACTGGGCCCTTTGTGCCACCAGGGAGCCGGGCACGGGGGACTGCTGATCCCAGGCGCCGCGCAGCATGGCACGCAGCGAGATCATTACTGTTATTAATTATTATTATTTCTTTTTTGCCTGGAGCAGGCTGGCTCGGCGGCTGTTACTGTGGCAACCAGCCGTGCTGCTCCCGCGTTGGAACCGAGCAGGCAATAAATTAAAAGTGTAGGGGGGTGAAATGTGTGCAGAATTATTCCCTCTGGCCGCTCGCAGCTCAGTGAGCTGAGCTAGCAGCTTTATTTTATTTTATTTGCTTTCGGGTTTGGATTTATTATTATTATTATTATTATTATTATACCTTGGCATTGTCCCTTCTGCTGACGGCAGAGTGCAAGCAGCACGGCAGCAATGGTCAGTGCAAAGTGGTGGTGAGTGATGAGGTTGGTGCAGAAAGTTCGTAGCGATTTGGATGGAGGAATTTTGGGTTTCTCCCTTTTTCCCTTTTTTTTTTTTTTTTTTTTTTTTTGCCGTAGGAGGGGGAAATGCAGTTTTCTTTGGAAGAAAATGGCTCGGCAATCTCCTTTTCGGGGAGAAAGAGAATTAAAAGGGTCGAGGCAGGGCTGCCTCCTGCTTAGCCCCGTATGCTGCCTCCATATGGCACCTAGACAGTTCAGTGGCAGCAACCGAAACAACAAAGCTTTGATGCTCTGCGAGTATTTCCTGATAGCGTGAGGCTTGAAACTGAAGCAAAACCAGCAAATCTCTAGCACTGCTTCCTCCGCCGAGTTTGCATTTCCTTGGTTGGGAAAACTGACCCTGGATCAGTCTCAGATGTCACTGTCTGTTCCTGGGATCTGGTGCCAGTTTGTCCCCAAAGGTCTTGGAATGGGACCAGAAGGAGGAGGATACCCCAACCTGTGGCACAAAAGGCTCCCCTGGAGCACAGTGTTTTGAAGTAAATTATTTTGATAAACTAGGGAGCCTGCCAGGTGCTGAAATGTGTCCCTGCCTTTTCCAAATGTTACGACTTGCTCGGCAGTCTCCCGTCAGTCCCTTTCCCGAGCACTTCTTGCTGCAACCTTTACTATGTAGTTGCAGCCCCAACAAGATGGTTTAAGATGGTTTTCTGACAAGGTGGGAAGATGCCTCTTGAGTAGACCCTAATGGACCTGGCCAGCCAAGGCCGGAGCGGGGGGACCTGGGCGAGCTTGGTCTGCTCAGCATGTTTTCTAGCTCTACTTTCTGCCTTAGTATCCAGTTCCCGCATCTGTCCCATCCCCTCGAGGGTTGCCTCGGGAGCATTTATGTGATTTTTCTAAACTGAGCAGCCCTCGCAACAGCTTTGGTGCTGAAGTGTGACCGGGAACTCTCCCAAAGTGACAGAGAATTGAGATGCTCTTCGCTGGGGGTGGTTGTCTGTGTCCATTCCGTGCATCAAAGCCTTGCCCTGAGGGTCCTTGCCTTGTCCTGGAGGTCCTGGTGGCCATGCCAGTCTACTTTGGGGCACCATCCGATGCCAACTCACTGTGGCGCAGGTGGGGAGGGGTCATCCCATCCCATCCCAGAGCTTTGCCTTGTCTCTCCTGCAGGCACGGATGCCACCAGTGGCTGCAATGCAGGGAGAGGGGGTTGTTGCTGCTGGGTGCCAGCCGTGCAGGTCTGGTTCAAGGCAGCAGAGCGCCAAGGGTGGAAGAGGTGCCAGTGAGTCCCGTATCGTGTATCCCAAGACATACAGCATGCCAGAGCCGGTGGGGTCCCAAACTGTATGTGCCCCCTGTACTCACACAGGCAGAGCTGAGCCAAAGCGTTTGCCAGGACCCAGGACTGCCAGGCTGAGGGAAGGGCCCCAAACGCCCATCACTGGAGGGCGAGTTCCTCTTGCTGATGCTCATGGTCCTGTGGTGGGACCTGCTTTCCCTAGAGCATCCTCTTGGCACCCGGACAGAACTTAGTGTCTCCCCCCTGCACTTTGCAGCCTGCTGCCCTCCACGCAAKGCAATAAATGCTGCAGAAACTGTGTTGGACCCACTGATGGCACCCAGGAGGTGGGGCGGTGCCCAGGGAGACCTTGTGCCTCAAGGGCTGTTAGCAAGGCTCCTCCAATATTGCTTTAGCTCATCAGTGCCGGTGAGCTGTCATGGCTCTGTGAGGGACTGAGACCACCCGTGGAGTGAGAGCTGGGAAGGGTCAGCAAAGTCTCTGGCTTCAAAGCTCAAGTGAACCCTCACTGTAGAGGGGGATGTGGGTGATGGTACCTGGGGTGAAGTGYCAGGCAGGACCTGTAATACCTGCTCAGGCCTGGGAGCTCCTGGTCTCATCATCGTTGCTCCATGAGGAGGAGGAGGATGCTCTTGATGTCACTCCATGCCAGACTAACCTCTCACCCTTATGTCTGGTTTAGCACCACAAGGAGAAGACCCAGTCATCGGTGTCTGGCGTGCCAGCCTGCTCCACCACCACCCTGGCTTTCCCTGAGCTCTACTCCTTGCCCGGGCCCATCAAAAGCGAGGCCATGAAGACTGAGAAGGATGAGGCTCTGCCCACCTTCTCTGTGGGCAGCCCCACTGGAGATGGGGGAGGTGAGACCCTTGCCATGTGGGGGGGGGGGTAGCACAGGATGGGCGAGGATCCTTTTCTCATGTTACTGTGGAGTCCTTTTGGCCAGAGTAGGTAAGGTGTTGACGTTGCATGGGCTGTTTCTGCTCAAATCTGCCTTCAGATGGGCTTCCTGGACTCATGTTTCTTGCTCAGTGCCCCTGCTTGGCTTTGGGTGGACTGGATCTAGAGAGAAGCACAGCAGGTGTGTGCACGTGTGTGCACTGGGTATCATCCAGCGTCTGCAAGATGCCAGCAAGCTTTGGCTCCAGCCCAGCACCTCTTTCTAGAGCAAAGACCTGCCCATTTCTAACCACTCTCAAGTGACTCCTCCGGTCCCGTCCAACCCAGAGCCACCAGACTTCAGAATTGCCAGGGCTGTTTAAGATCTCTGCTCAGGTAGAAATGAGATCAGAACAGTGAACTGCGACAGTCATTACAAAACATAAAACCTTGGCTCAGCTTGCAAGAAAAAAAATCACATTTGAGCCTATATTTGTGCTCTGAAGCTTTGCCCTGCTCTAAGCTCAGACCCTGAGAGAGCCTCCCATCTCTGGGCTGGCCTGCATGATCACAGAATCACAGAATATTCAAGGTTGGAAGGGACCTCTAGAGATCACCTAGTCCAACCTTCCCGCTCAAGCAGGCACACCTAGAGCACGGGGCACAGGGCGGCATCCAGGTGGGTTTTGAAGACCTCCAGAGAAGGAGACTCCCCAGCCTCCCTGGGCAGCCTGGGCCAGGGCTCTGGCACCCTCACAGTCAAGAAGTTCCTCCTCACCTGGAGATGGAACTTCCTGTGCTCCRGCTTGTGGCCRTTTCCCCTTGTCCAATCACTGGCCACCAATGAGAAGAGCTTGATGCACAGATGGGTGACTGGCTGCATCTCCAGCGGATGTTAACCTGGAAGGGCTCTCTCCGTCAGGTGGCAGTGACCCGACCCTGTCCTGCGGCCAGATGCCGGCGGCGGGGAGCGCAGGAGCACAAGTGCAGGATCTGCGGCTGCTGAAGCGCCGGCCTGTCCCTGGTGAGCTCCACGGTGGGGCTCCACGGTGGGGCTCCACGGGCCTCCTCCCGGGAGGGACAGGGTGCTGCGTCCACTGTAGGGGCCGGCGGTGGTTCTGGCATGGGTTGGTACCTGTAAGAATAGGGTGGCCTGTCCCATCTTGGGTCCAGAAGGCCTTTCTGTATGGAGGAGTGGCTTGTACCTCCCAGCTGGGGCTGAAGGGGTTTGGGGAGGGCTCATCTTGGCCTGTGTGATGGGCAGGGCGAGGGGTTGAGGGTTGGGGTGGTGGTGGGAGCTTGGGCCTGTCCTAGGGCCAACGTCTGTGTCTCCTGTTAGGAAAGCACTACCAGTGCTCAAGCTATGGCTGCAAACTGGCCTTCCACAGCATGCAGGAACTGATGGATCACTTGAAAGTCCACTACAGACCCACACAGTCCCTCGAGGGTAAGGCTGAACTTGCATGCTCCCTCCTAGCGTGGGGTGCAATGGGAGAGGCAATGGAAGGAGGTCCGCTTGGGTCCAGGATGCCCTTTTTCTGGATGAGGWGGATGGGAGGTGGAGAAGCGAGGCTTGAAATTTGGCTGGCTGCTTAGTCTGTGCTCCTTCACTCTTCCCAAGATGTCCATACCCCTGGCAARTGGTGTATGGACAAGCAGCAAGGAGCTGGGGGAGTGTCAGAAGGTGACAGAGATGCTTGCTAGCCCATGGCTGGTACAAGGGTGAGGGATTAGTGCCCGAAACCATCCAGGAAGGTTCTTGGGGTCCTGCAGCCRTAATGTTGCTGACTCTCAGTACCTCTCTCCTTGCAGGCAAAACCTTCCACTGCCCCACTCTGGGCTGCAGCGAGACCTTCCCCAGCATGCAGGACCTCATGAGCCACATGAAGGTGCACTACAAGCCAAACCGCTACTTCAAGTGAGTTACGCATGGCACCCCGCGGAGGGTCCCCGTGCCACCCCGCGCAGCCCCCAAGGTCCTGCAGCACTGGGAGGTCCCAGGGCCGCGGCGGGCATGGGCAGCCGGCGCTCACGCTGCCCCTCTGGCCGCGCAGGTGCGAGAACTGCCTGCTGCGCTTCCGGACGCACCGGTCGCTCTTCAAGCACCTGCACGTCTGCTCCGACAGCGCCAGCAGCTCCGTGGCAGCCCCCAGAGCCGAGAAGCCCATCCTAGCCGCTACCTCTGCCCTGGAGAAGGAGGCCTTGGCCAAGCCACTCGAAGGGCTGCCCAAGCTCCAGGGGGTCATCCGGCACATGGAGAAAGAAGCCATGCTCCCCGGCACGGACACAGCGGCCGCCGCGGCTGCCGGCCTCCACGGCTCGCTGGAGGCCGCGCCGCTGGTCTCGCCGGCCACCCACCCCTTCCCGCTGCTGGAGCCCAACCCTTTCGGGCCGTCGTCCTTGACTCGGTTCTCGGGGCCTCCCCATTCCTCGGGGCCAGGGCCCTTTGTGTCCTATGTGCACCCCTCATCCTACAGCTTACCTCAGGCGTCGCTGCAGCACCGCCTCCGGCCCTACGTGCCCGGCCAGGGCCTGCCCGTCTCCAACGCTGTGTGGAAGAAGAGCCAAGGTGAGACGATGGCGCCGCGCAGGGCACAGCTGCTTCTGCCTCCCGCCTCGAGCAGCACCAGGACCCACCGGAGTCCCCCAGCAGCCAAGGAGCTTCCTGGCTCCCAGCGCTGAGAGCCACGCGGGCCCTGCAGCCATCTCTGACCCCCAGCTCCCTCCCCAGCCCCTTTAAAGCTCAATTTGGAGGAAAAAGAACCCCGCCATGGCCTAAAACCGTCCGTGTTGCCAGGTCCCACTGGTCGCCATGTGAGGCCAAGGGGCGCCAGGCGCTCACAGCCCAGCGTGCCCGGGCCGTGTCCCCAACCCCGCCGTGTCCCCAACCCCGCCATGTCCCCAGCCCCGCCCCTGATGCCTGTGTCGCCCCTCGCTTCCCTCCGCAGGTGCGAGCGCCAGCCCGCTGCTCCCATCCTTTGGCTCAGCAGGGACCACAGGTCAGTCGGGCAGCGACTTGCCAGGTGGGAAGCGTGGGGCCGGGGAGGCAGCGGGAGGGCGGCCGGGGGCCGCGTGGGTGGGGCGGGCGGCGCGGYGCCCGCTCGGAGGCCGCTGTGGAGCCCGGCGGGCGGGCGGGCGCCACCCCGGAGCGCTGCCCTCCCGCACACTGCAGCAGCCGCTGGAGCTCGAGCCCTCCTTCGCTCCCCTCGGCGGCACTGGAGGCTGCAGTGGTTGGTGTGGGAGTTTCCCCTGCCCGTGGGGTGGAACCAGCCTCCCTGCACTCCAGGGGAGGCCCCGAGGGAGGCTGGGGACGGGCGCATCGGCCCAGGACACCAGCACAGTGTCCAGTGCCCGCTTTGGGTCCCGCCTGCTCCAGAGTGGGGGGTTCCCACACGYGGGGCTCGGAGCAGAGGGTATCTGGCTCCTGCCCTTGTGGCACCAGACRCTCTGAGCCCCACTGAGCCCGGCACGTGGGGCCCAGGCGTCCGGGGCTCTGCTGTTGCCTCCGCTGCCTTCCCCGGCTTCGYGCGGCTCTTGCGGGGGAGCGGCGAGTGAGCGGCTGTGCTTCCCCCCCTCGCCCCGGCCGCGTCCTCGCAGGGCACGCGTCCAACAGCCGCATYGTGTGGGAGCACACGCGGGGCCGCTACACGTGCACGCAGTGCCCCTACTCCACCGCCTCGCGGGACGAGATGACGCTGCACATCGAGGAGCACCGCAAGAACCCGCCGCCGCCCGCCCGCCTCGACGGCGACGTGGGTACGCGGCCGCGCGGCACGCGGGGTGCCCTGCTCAAGGGCACATGCCCTGCCCAAGGCATCCCCAGCGGTAGCAAATGGGTGCTCAGTGCTGCCCATGCACCCCGAGGGAGCACTGGGCTCAGAACTGTCCCTCTGGGTCACGGTCGGGGAGAGTTTTACTTGGCGCTAGCCCCACTTCCTTGCAGTTAACATTAATTGGTTGCAGGGAGCAATGCAGATGGGCTCGGCGCCCTCCTGCGTCATTCTTCCCCAGGTTCATGCCCCAAAGCCGCCTTGCAGCACCAGCTGAGGCCTGGAGCACTTCAGCTCATGCCCCACGGCCAAGCGCTCACCCTGACGGCTGCCCTCCCTCTCCCTGCAGATTTTGCCGTGGGCATCCCCTCCTTCCACACAAAGCTGCCGCCGGAGATGGAGAACTCCCTGTACTCGCAGCTCTGATGCCGCCCGGCTCCTGCTGGGCCAACTCTTTGCTTCGTTGTTCCCCACCCCTCTTTCTTTCCGCTCTCCTTTTCGCCTCCCGGCCTGGGCAGGGAGCTAGGGCATGAACCCCGTGCCAGGGGCGCCCATGAACAGCCCCCCTCGCACCCCCAGCATGGGGGTGACACCAGGCCAACCGCTGCAGCGCAGCGGCTGCGGAGGGGGGGAACTTYCTTGTTTTCTGGACTTTTCCCTTCCCTCTCCTTTTAATTTTTGGAAACGGCAAGCCCTGGAGCATCCTGCATCGCTCTTTTACCCTCCGCCCTGCAAGGTTCTCTTGCTTCAGATCCAGGGGTTCTTGCTCGAGCCTGGTAGGTTGCTCAGGAGTTAGCGGACTTCTCGGGAACGAGGTCTCTACATAATAAATGGGAATTGTACAGGAGCAGCAGCTGGGCGAGCGTCTGTCCGTCCCAGCGTGGCTCCGTGACACGGGGCTGGAGCCGGGGGSCTGGAGGGCAGAGTGGGGAGCGGGGAGGAAGCCCAGGCAGCTCCCGGGCCTGGAGAGGCCATTGTGGTAGGCAGGGGCCCCACGGGGCGCCCACTTTAAGGGGGCTGCGGGGTCACCCCCATCTCACTGGCCCCTGCGGCAGGGAGGGGAAGGAGGGGGGCTACAGTGTCCCCTGCACCCACGGATGGGGCCTGAAGCCCAAGTGCTCTAAAGGCAACAGCACTGGCACGGCCTCCACCTCCCTGCCTGCACCCCCACACGGAGCTGGGGCACCCTGCTAGCTCCCACACGGAGCTGGGGCACCGACGGGACCCAGCTGCCCTTTTCCGGGGTGCTGCGGGCGCCGAGGGACAGACGGATGCCTTTCCTCAGCCCTGGGGCCCCACGTCCCCCGTCCGGCTTGGCCTGTGCACCGGTGCCAGCCAGGGACGTCGAGCCAGGGAGGGCAATGGCCCTGCTCCGAGCTGCTCCGAGGGGCCGCGCGGGGGCCCTGGCCGCGCTCCAGCGGCTGGCACAGCCAGGGCGGCCGCGGGTTGCGGCTCCGGCCCTGCGCACGCGCGGCAGCAGCGGCGGCGGCACCGCTGCGGCCGGGGAGCAGAAGCAGGGCCAGGGCCCGAGGGAGCTCCTACAGCTCTGGCTGCTGATCCAGCCGTGGCTCGCGGCACCGCAGCGCCGGGTCCGGCCTGCGCAGGCTGCAGGGAAGGGAGGCGGAAAAGCCCTTCGGCCAGAGCGGCACACGGAGCCCTGCACTGCACCCCGGGAGCCCAGCCCCAGAGACACCTGCGCTGGGGGGCACGCACAGACCCGGGGGCTGCCCCCCAAACACAGGCTTAGGAAGAGGCAACCGGGCCAGGACACAAGTGCCCACATCTCTCTGCAGCCTCCACACTGAAGAGCAGCACAAGTTAATCCCCCGCCAACCAGCTACACCCATGGGTGCAGGCAGCCCTGCCCCCCGCACCGGCCTCCCCACACGGCCCCTCAGCTGAGTCAGAGCCGGCGCCAGCACCCATGGGGGCAGCCCAGCCTGAGCAGGGCTGGGAACGGGAGAAAAGCGGGGAGCAGAAGGCCAGGCCAGGCCGGCCCGCGGGCAGGGGAGGGCGCCGGGAGCAGCGGCTGCGCGGGGCGAGGAGCAGCACAGCTGCATCGGAGCCGTGAGCACCCTGCGTCTGCGTTGGAGCGGGGAGCGCCCTGCGTCTGCGTTGGAGCGGGGAGCACCCTGTGTCTGCGTTGGAGGGGGGAGCAGCACGTCTGTGTTGGAGCGGGGAGCACCCTGCGTCTGTGTTGGAGCGGGGAGCGCCCTGCGTCTGCATTGGAGCGGGAGCAGCACGTCTGTGTTGGAGCGGGGAGCACCCTGCGTCTGTGTTGGAGCAGGGAGCGCCCTGCGTCTGCGTTGGAGCGGGGAGCGCCCTGCGTCTGCGTTGGAGCGGGGAGCGCCCTGCGCGGGAGGGTGGCCACGGGGCTGCGCGGGGGCAGAGAGAGGAGGCTGCTGCCGAGAGCGGCTCTGGGAAGGCTGGGAGCCCCCAGCACAACAGGAACAACCCCCCAACCCAGGCCCCGAGCTGAGGCTAAAGCAAAAAGCGCAAGCTCAAGCTCCTGCCTTGCGCGGACAGAGCAGCAGCTCGTGGCAGAGCCCGACCCACCTCAGGCGGCCCCAGCAGGGACAGGGACGGCAGCCCCAGGCCCTGCCCTGGCCGGTGCAGCTCCGGGCTCCTCCAACCAGCCCCGGCTGGCAGGGACAGCAGCAGCAACGCCTCCAGCCCAGCCCCTGCCAGGGTCCTGCCCCACTCCGTCCAAACCCCCGCACCTCGTTCCCTGCTCTGGGGCGCAGGCACCTGCCCTCAGCTCCCTTCACTAGCGCAGCCTGGCCCCRTGCCAGCCCTGGAGGCACAAGCCCCGTTCCCACGTGAGAACCTTCCTGCAAACGGAGCCTTCCCTCCAGCAGCGGGAGCGGCGCTCGCTGCCCGCACGGCCGGCGCAGCCGCTGTAGCTCCCCGGGGACACGGCCGCTCCCGAGGCCGCGTCCAACAGCAGAGACGGGAGCTCAAGGGAGCAGAGGGCTGCCCCCTCCATCCCATGGACATCCAGCACACGGATCATGACCTCTCTCCTCTGCTGAGCTTTCCCGGGCCGCAGTGCCCAGCTCCATCTCCCCCTGCACCCCGATGAATGACTCTGCTGCACCCCTCAGCCCTGCCGGGCTGCCCCAGACGTTCCCCTGCTCCCCACAGCTGCAGCTCAGCAATGGAGAACAGACCAGCTGCACTTACCCGCGGGCCGCGCCGCYCAGCCGGGCTCCGAGATGAGCAAGGAGAGGAAGAACCAACCCAATAAAACTCCCCCTGAACAGCCATGCCTGGGATGAAGGACAGGCACTACTCCCAGAAGAGACTCCAGCTGCCCAAGAGGAAAAGAACTGCCCCAAAACTCCAACGCGGTGGTTCTGCAGGCTGGTTGCAGCTCTCAAGCTCCTGGAGCAGAGGCAGGGAAGACAGCATTCATTGCAGTGCATTTTTAAAAACTGAAGTCTTTATTAAAAGTTTTATCCAATTTTTTTTTTTTCTTTTTGTAACAAAAGATACAAAAGGGCTGGAGATCCTTATTTCTGGGACTAGTCTGACCAATCAAAACCTGACAGTTACTAGGCTAATATAAAATCCATACAATCTGCTAAAAATGCAGGGAAAAATTAGAAGCAACTGCTGCTCTGAAATTTCTCTCTCTCTTTAAATTCCTTTAACATTTTTATAAGTTACTCAGTTTGCATTTTACAAGAGTCGTTCTTCTCTGAATGGTTATAGCTACTGTACAGTGCAAGGAGACAACAGAACAGAACAAAGCAAGAGCACCTCGGCTGTGCTGCCACACACGGCGCTGCGCCGGAGGAGCCGCCGCGGAGCTCGGCCTGCCTTCGGGTGCCGAGACGGCCCGGAGCAACCGGGGAGCTCCACAAAGTGCCAGTGCGTCTGCACCCATGGGGAGCCTCAGCACCCCGGCTCTACGCACCCAGCTCCAAGTGGAGCTAGTCCTGCCCAGACGTGTCCTTGGGCACCTGACACGGAGCAGCTGCTATCTCCGGATGCCGCAGGGCCAGGGTTCTCTCCAGGAGCTAACACACGTGCCGTCCCGACACCTCGAGGCAAAGGCAGGAAGAGCAAGAGGTCAGAAACCCTACGGTGGAGAGCTACAACCTGGCTGGCTTCTCCCCGCTCCGTGTTCCCAAGACCACAGACCGCAGGGGCACAGGCTCCACAGCACTGTCCGCATTCCCGTAGTGCACGAACAGGATGGGAAAGAGCTGGATATCTGCTCGACACGCTTCTCTTCCTGCTCCAAAGGAGAATGGAGGAGGATGCATACACCAGGCTAGCACTGAGGCAACTGTCCAGAGCTGTTAGTGGCTAGCAGAAGGACCCTGAGAATATAGAGGCTAACACGGTCTCCCGGGGAATGCCGAGTTAGGTGCGTCACAGTGATACTGGTTGAACGTGTTCTGTACAGTGCGGAACGGAGCTCGACCCAAGTGCAGTTTCCCTTAACCTGCTCTTTCCTATCTCTTCCTCAAGACACATCGCCACAGGGTGAGGAGAAGCCTCATCACAGCAAGACGCTCACAGCCACAAAGCAGACTTATTTCAACATCCAAATCAAAGTTATTTGGTGGCCAATAGGGAAAAAAAAAATATTCCAGTTTATAAAAAAATAGGAAAGCAAGTACAGGGCTACTGCAAGGTGCATCAGAGGTACCAGGTCTTGCAAGCAGCCCATGACCCCCCCATAAACCCCGGCATCCCACATCCCCAGCACTAAAGCATCTTCAAGCATCTCCAGAGATCACATCACCATTATTTCTGATCAGAGAGACCTCAGCGATCGTTTACTTTAAGTCCGTTTAGATGAACCAGATTTGCACCCACTRCTCAAGGTGCCTCAAACATCTTCTGAGAGCTGGTCTGAGGGCGTGCCGAGAGCAAACACGCCTTCTTGGTTGGCAAGCAGGGTGGCGAGCTGGAGCTCTGGGTCCAGTGTGTGGCAAGGCTGATTTCAGACACGAAAGATACCCTAGGAGGTGGTTGGGGGTTTTTTTTTGTTTTCTTTTTTTTTGTTTTCTTTTTTTTTTCTTTTTTTTTTTTTTTTTTGCAAACTACTGCACAAAACACAAAACGGAGAAAGGATTTGAGCATGGGATTGTTCTGAGAAAGTGAGCCTTGTATGGAAGATTCCCCTGAATGCCTACAGTATTCTACATCTTAAAAAAATATATTGTGGATGCTGCAGCCATACAAAGAGGGGAGGACCGGGAGACGGGGGTTTACAGTCTCACAAAGACACAACGGGGAGGTTAAGACAAGCACAGTCACAGTCTGTAAAACTGATTGGCTCGCTGGGATCAGTCATCCTCATCATCATCTTCGTCTTCTGGATCTTCCTCTCCTTCATCCTCTAGATTTCGTTTTCTCTTTTCTCCTCGTGGAAGGTCTAGGGAGGGGAGGAGGGAGGGAAAAATAAGTAAGTGAAACGTGAAGCTTTGTTCAGTCTCGTGGAGCAGCATTTGAACTGTGGCTTCAAGCCATGGCAGCCCCAGCTTGCTTGTGGACAAGCACAGACTGGATTTACACCAGCGGGGAATGGAAATCCACCTGGCTCTGTTTCTCATGGCACCCCAGAAAAGGCCGGGCTGGCACAAGGCATTAACTCTTCTCTACAYCTTCCCTGCACCCCACGCATCAACAGGCACTTGAAAAACACGTTGTCACTACGCACTATCCCTAAGACTGCTGCAGCAGGTGTGGAATTCACTCAGTTTTGACCAAGCTCAGGCAAGATCATTTCAAATCATGCCACTCGTTCTGCTCTGTCAACATTCCTATGTTCAGTCTGCTCTAGCCACAGCAGCCAAGACTCACGTCAAGGAGAGCAGATTTCCTCTCCCTGCAGCTGAAAGCCCAGGGAAAGCTGGAGCTAAGAGCATTTCCTGGGAAAGTCTGCTAACAGGCATTTCTAGGACAGAAGTCCAGCTCCTGCAAGGAGTATCAGCTCAAGCTGCTTCAAACCAGCCTGCCAGGTAATTCACCTTTTTAATATTTGGCAGACTTGCTCAGTTAGCATTAACAGGCACTAAAAGTTTGTTTCCCCAGCAGCACTGTGTGACCCCTCAGTTTTAATCACCATCAGTACAGTCGGACACAAGCAATTTCAGCAATGCTCACAGGAAGTAACACAACACTTTTCAGCAGGGAAAGGCTGAGGCAAAGAGCATAGCACCAAAGTCAGAGGTGAAATCCTAAGGCTRCAAGTAGTGTGCAAGACTTGGAGCTCTGCAACTCGGAGTTAATTTGTTAGAGTTCAGCTTACCATCATCAGCTTCATCCTCTTCATCCTCCTCACCATCTTCCTCCTCATCTTCCTCCTTAAGTCAAAACAACATACTTCTGTTAGAGGCCCACAACCTCATGAGTGAGGTGTAATTCTGCAACATCATTTTCCTTCGCTTCTGCTCCCACCCTACCCTGGTGTTAGAGAGCTACAAGCCAAGAGCGCAGAAAAATATGCGCTTTTGTGTAGGCACTGTTGTTTCCTACGTAACTTCTCCATTCCCCACAAAGGAAGTTTTATCACAGAAATGGCTGAGGTTGGAAGAGACCCCTAGAGATCATCTTTGTCTCTCTCCACTGGCCCCTCTCTAGAAGCTCCACGTCCCTCTTGTCCTGGGGAGCTCAGAGCTGCTCCCAGTGCTCCAGGTCTGGCCTCCCCAGCGCTGAGCAGAGGGGCAGGATCCCCTCCCCGCCCTGCTGGCACCATCCCCCTGATGCAGCCAGGAGCCCATTGGCCTCCTTGGCCACGAGGGCACCGCTGGTTCATGGTTAGCTTGTTACCAACCAGGGCTCCCAGGTCCCTCTTTGCAGAGCTGCTCTCCAGCAGGTCAGCCCCTAATCTGTCTTGGTACCTGGGGTTATTCCTGCCCAGSTGCAGSACCCTGCCCTTGTCCCTGTTGAACCTCATGAGGTTCCTCTCTGTCCAATTCTCCAACCTGTCTAGGTTTAATGTATTTTATCACTCGAAGCCATGAGGAAGCACCAGGGCAAACAGACAAATACCAAACTCATGAACTCCATAAACAGGGAGTCAATGGGTACCTGTATGGGGAAATGCTGAGGGTGGTGCAGCACCCCTGAGATCCATCTCTGACACCAAGTCAGAGGGTTACAAAGACATGGGGACAAACACACTACACATTTCAGAAAGCCTCACCTCATCATCTACTCCATCCTCTTCCTCTTCCCCTTCCAGATCATCATCTTCATCTTCCTCATCATCAATGACTTCTTCATCCAAGTCATCTTCCTCATCGTCATCATCTTCTTCCTCCCCTTCTACCAAGAGGGAGATGCAAGTTACACTTCCCCAGGACGTGCTGTTCCTGGATGGGACGTCCGCACCTCCCACCCCAACGCCGGCAGGACCAACGTGCAAACGTAGAGCCCACCACGAGACCGCTCAGCTTYGAGCGAGCCTCATTTCTCATGTAGTCACCAAAGGCAACGGGGCTCGCCCAGACAGCCCCACTACTGCAGGGGCAAGTTACAATCACCACTGTTTAACAAGACCCTGCAGAAGAGGGCAAGAAATGGTTTCCAAAGAGAACCAAGGAAGGGAAAACAAACAGAACAAAAACCAAACAAAACCCACCACTTACCTTCCCCATTCTCATATTCATCTTCCAGTGCATCCCCATCTGCTTCAGGGTCTGAATCAGGGGCTTCCTGGTCATCAGCATCGAACCCATCGAGGTAGGTGAGCTGGGGCAGGAGGGTGAACACGCTCTCCCGGTAGTTGATCAGCATTGTCACCTCGCAGTTGAAGAGGTCCAGACTACGCAAGTTTGGCAACTTTTTCTGCAAGGATCAGTTTGTTAGACAACTTACAAGATGCCACTATCTTGAAGATCAGGAAACCAGCAGGCCCTCTGAACACCTGCCTTGCTACCCAGACCTACTACAGAAGTGTCTTCACCTACGTTCTTCACACCATGTGCTCCTCAAAGATACACTATGACTTGTGCTAAATGTACCTGGCAGATTTTCCAGCTCCTGTGCCCCATAGTTTCCCTTCCTTGGTGTCCGCTCCTTTTGAAACCATTTGCAAATCCTGCTCCCTTTTGCAGGCAGTGAGTAACAAGCAGAATGCCCAGCTCCCCTAGCAGGAGGGAGCATTGATGGGAATTCATCCTGCCCAAGAAACTGGATGAAAGACCTGGGACAGCAGCAGGGAGACCAAGCTACACTGTCCACAGACCGAGTGCCACATGTTTCAGTCCAGTTGCAGCAGCTCAGCCAGACTACCACAGTGAATATTGGGTTAAGCAAAGGAGAAACAAAAACAAGTTTTAAGCTCCTTTTTTGGACAGGATGGAAGGACTTCTCCAAGGGCAAGAGCTAATGGGGCAAATGCTCTAGATCAGACATTTCAGCTAGAGTCAGGATCACGAGTCTGATCACCCAGGGTGAGAGGGTCACAGCCCAGCAGGACAGCAGCCACGTGGCAGACACTCTCACTGGGTGGCCAAGCAACTCATCTCCATGACACCCCAGGTGCCACCTACCTCAAACTGCATCCGACCCATTAATGGTCCTTTCTCAGATGCACACTGAGCACTGCATCCACCGTTTTATTCACCCAGCCCAATTTCATGCTTCTTTTAGCAAGTGGCTGCTGGTTTTCCAGATAGAGGAGCCATTAACTATTAGTCCAGCCTCAAATGGGACCCACTCATCTGTTCCCACGAGAACCACGAAGTGCTCTTGGAACAGTTACCAAGATGTTGTACTTCTGCTGCACATACAGGCTCCCCAAAGGAAAAACACAGATATATCATCCTTTAGATGCCAGTACAGCCTTGCACTCACCAAGGGCTCCAGGGTATTGATGTCTTTGATCTTGTTGCCACTTAGATTCAAGTGTGTCAAGTTAGGAGTTCTTTCTGCTAGAACTTCGAGGCCACCAGAAATTCTGTTATCACTCAGCTCCAGCTGCCAGAAAGAAATATCATATGGTCACCAAACATCCAACCTGCTCTAAGGAACTTTATTCCCTAAAAAACTATGATGGACATCTGAGTTCCAGATCCTGTTCATTAGGCCATGCCATGGAAAATCAGTTCATGTTTTCACCTTTTTGACAAGGTAGCACAGACTGCCACTTTTGTACTGCACAACACAAAAGTTGCTCATCCTTTGAGCTGTACAATCTAAAATGCTTTCTTTGCTATCAAAACTTTTGATAGTAGCATGAAGCATAACAGTCCCCCCCAAAAAAAGGGGTACTACAAAAGAAATGAGCTCAAAAACATTTTGCTCTGTATTAGAAAAAACCCTTGCTCAGAAAGAGCACAGCCAAATTACCCTCTTCTGACCACTGGAGGAATGAAATCAACTCTGAGCAAGGATAGGGCAGATGTCTCAGAGCACAGGCTGAGATGGGAGCACAGGCCTGACTCACCTTGCGAAGTTTGTTAAGCTTGGGGAGACTGGAGACAGACAKCAAGTTGATGTTGATCATGCTGAGGAACTCCAGGTTCTCAAAATCCGAGGAGAGCCCCACGATCTTCCCATCATCCGAGCGGCAGTTATCAAGAACCAGCTCCTTCACCTGCCAACAGAGACGCTCAGAAGTTGTCCTCACAAACGCAGCCAAGTCTCACCTATGGCACCACGTCCCGTGACTGCAGCTAAGGTCTGTATTCTCCACAAAGAAACAGTAATGGGTCGAACCAAACATTTGGCACGCAAGGCCTCAAACTTCCAAAGAGCCCCCTTAAGCTTTATTGACCACAGTCGCCCCGTTTCACTCCCTTCAGGTCTCTCACCAATGCTAAAACGTTCCTTAGATGCTGGGAAAGCCCAGAATCCGAGAGCAGAACCACTCAGCACCTGCACAAACGCAGACTCCAGCCAGCCGGCGCCTCCAGCTGCGGCTCAGCAGGAAGAGCATTCCCAGGGCCCCGCAAGGAAGCTCCAGCCGAGACCCACTCCTCGCCGGCCGCCCGCCGGGCCCACGCACCCAGCAAGCCCACTTCCCTCCGAGGCAGCACAGCCGAATGCTCCAGCTCCGCCTGAGGCCTTGTCTAAGCTGCGCTTTTATCCTACGCAGCAGGACACCAAGTCACAGTYTTGGCTCGAGAGCTGCTGCTCTCCACGTTCCTCCTTCGCAGCTCTCCAATTCTCCCTCTCCAGCTCAGAGGCACCAACTAGGAGGAGGTCATCCTGAAGAAGCCTTTTGCCCTTGTACAGGCAGCCTAACTGGCCAGGCTGCCCTGCCGGCTTCACAAGCTCCACGTGAACTGGTGCTAAACCTCCAGAAGCGACACTGCTCATCGGGGCTTGGAGTCCAGCAGCAAACAAACTCAACCAGCGGTTTTGTAGGCGAGTTCGTGTTGCTTCTAACACCTCGCAGAGAAGCACCCAGTTCAATTAAAGTCGGCCTAAGCCAGCCCTTCAGCCCTCAGCATTGGCACGGCCACAGAGGCGACCGTGAGAGCCACCAGATTAAAGACTAACGTGGCCACGAGGAGACTAGCTTGAACCTGGGTCAGATCCTTGCCCTAGATCACAGGGTAAACACTCCAAGCTGGCAGGGCAGCCGCAGGGACAGGAACAAGCGGCCAGAGCCGCTTCTTTCAGCGGTGCCACTGGCTCCTACCAGCTCTGCTCGCAGGGCCTGTGCGCTTCAAGCCCGCCCAGCTCCGCATGCTGCCAATTCCTACGTTCAAAAAAGAGAAAATCTGCACCTGGCAGCCTACGGGTCACCTACACGTCCCCAAATAGTTCTTGCTCTGCAAATTCCTTTGCCACCCACAAAGGAAACCTCCATTTCTCCCTGCAAGGTTTCATGTAAGACCCATTTTCTCTCTGTCCCCAGCTTGGTTTCAGACTGGCCACGCCAGCTCGCTGAAGAGACACTGCGGTTTGTAAGTGGAGCTGAGGAACAGCCGCCCCAGCTATCTTGCTAGAAAGTAGCCAGCGGTCCTGGCAAGGCTGGCCTAAGATAAGCGGCCGCCTTGCTGCTGCGGCAAAGCCTGGTGCACACACCAGCTCCCGTGAACCCCGGCCTGAAAGACAAAGCTACTTGGTGCCTTGTCTACTAAAGGGTGCAAAACCCCAAGCCTGGAGCCTCCGCTGCCCAGCCGTGYGCAGCGGGATCTGGTCGCTCCAGCGGCACCGCAGCTGAGCTGGCCTTGCCACATGATGGGGTGACATTCCCGTGCCCGGCATTCCCGTGCCCGGCTACGGAGGCACCAGCCACCGACGGCGAAGTGAGAACTCATCAAAGTAGCCACAGCCAGAGGACAGTGAGAAAACTGCGCAAGGGAAGAGCGAGCCAAGGCAGCCCAGACATCCCTTACCCTCCAGCCCAAGTGCCAGGGTCACAGCCTGCTCCTATGGCYCTAATGCTCCGTGTTTACACTCCAGCAACAAAACTTCCTCCCCTCCCAGYGGTCTAACCTTCAAAGGCGGCCCTCAGGTGACGCAGGAAACCCCACTAACACATGGAGGCAACTCCAGTTCAGGAGCTTCACTCCCGCTGACAGCAGCCACAGCTCTTATCTGCCAGCACTACCGGTGTCGGCATCTCCCAGCTTTGCACTAGCAGAGGAGCCCACAGCCTCCTTCCCTYCCCCCGTGAATCACCAGGAGCAGGGCGGGAACAGTTTGTGCTGCTGTTCTGGACAAGGTGACTTCTTCCCATCCCGCAAGCACCATTTTCAGCAGCCCAGCTCCAGAGATGGCCAAATAAGCGGGAATAATAAAGAAACGCACGTGGGCTGGAAGCCCTTGCAGCCCTGCCACGAGCAGGCCCCGGAAGGCCAGGCCTGGCCGGGGTGCTGGCGGGGAGCACCCTTCCACGCTCCGGCACCCTGCGGTGGGAGCAGCGGCTCCTCCGCACCACGGAGACCCGGGCGCTGCGGGGTGGAGGCCCCACAGCAGCTCCCGCCGCAAGTTCTCCGCAGGGCCTCCGGCCTCCCCAGCCGCCAGGCAGCTACGGGCTGCCAACACCTCTCGCCGAAAGTGATTTAAAAGGGGGAAAAAAAAAAAGAAGAAATGAAGAAAAAGGGAGCTGGGTGTGCACGGGGGGAGAGGCTGCTCAGCAGCCGGCCCACGAGGGCCGCGGCGGGCGCCATGGCGGGCCGGGCTCCCCGCGCCGCGTGTCGGCGCCGCCGCAGCGCCCGGGGCTCC